TTGACATGGTGAGGTTTATGAGCTGACAGAGACAAGGCGTACGGTCTGCTGTCAGAGCAGCGACTCTGTGAGGCCGTTCTCAGACACAGCAGTGGTTTGGAGTGCTGTTCAAAATGCCTACATGGTCATAATGGGCATATGTGAACATGTTCATCTTTAAATTAATAAAGGCATATTCAGGTCTAATAAATGTGTTAGTCATGGTTTTAATAACAGTGATTGGCACATATGTTCATCAGCATCTTATAAGATTTTATAAATGGTTTATTAACTATTAACTGATGCTTATAACAAGGACCTTAATAGAAAGTGTTACCGAACATGAATATTTATTTTTTCAGAAGGTTTAGCAATTTATGTCCAGATTTCAAGGCTGGCTGCTCATACAGTTTGCACAAGAAATTCATCCTGGTGCAACAAGATAATTCAGGGACACACTCTTAGCAGGCTTTATCCTTAGGAGACAGTAAATTTCAGTTGAAATGCTACTATGGTAACACTTTACTTGATGCCTATCTCTATAGCACATTATAAACTTATGTATAATGTGTTATAACCTTGTTATAGCACTGTATAACTATAGTTATAAACACTCATAAATGATCCTAATGCTTTATAGCAATAATCATAACACATTATAAAGCATTTTATCATGACTTACAAGCTCAGGTATTATAATGTGTTATAACTGTTAACAACACACTGACAATGCCCACATAGATAATGCGTTATACATATATTTATGATGTGTTATAATTTGCTTATAAGCTTGTATAACTATCATTATAAACACTCATTAATGATCATAAGGCTCTATAGCAATAAGCACAACACATTATAATACCTGACTTTGTAAGTCATGATAAAATGCTTTATAATGTGTTATGATTATTGCTATAAAGCATTTCGATCATTTATGAGTGTTTATAACTATAGTTATACAGTGCTAAAACGTGATTATAATGCATTATACATATATTTATGATGCATAATAGAGATAGGCGTCAAGTAAAGTGTAACCGCTACGATTAATCTGATAGGGTGAGATATTTTACAGTAAAAGTAGGTAAAACTCTTGGCATGCTGTTAATACCACATGTTTGAACAGGGTATTATCAGAATCACAAAGAGTCATCCACCGGGGAATGTGAATATGCAATATTTCAGAAATGTTAGCTGATCAAGGGAAATCTTCAAATGAAACAGTTAAAACCTCAGGATCAGAAGTTTAACGTTTTATGTAATGGCAAAGCAGTTTGGTACACAATAGGTTTATTTGATTGGACAGTGGTTACCAAACACAAGCGGCACAGGCAAAACCCCAGAATATGAAAAACTCAGGTCGAAAGTGAAACACAAGACAGATTGCTGAACCACTGAGACAAGGTACAAGGCGAACTGGCACAGAAGTGAGGGAACATTGAGACAATACTCTTTTGGAGTATACAAGAAGACACAGGCAAGACAGCTTAGGGTAATCACAGATGCAGATGCAGGAAAACAAAGGATGGCAGAAAGTGAAGAGATCTGAAATAAGAGACAAGGATAAATACAGAATAAAACAGGAAACAAGACATGAATTATGAAGGAGGGGAAAAACTTCATCACCTAGAAGACATGACCGGACCTGGTCTAACAAAAAACATCTCTTCTACAGTGTACATTGTACATTTATTGACAGATCCGGATGAATCCCATTTGACAGCTCATTCATACCTACTACGATGACAGACACAAGGGTGGAGCAGCAAATGGGTGTGTGTGTGTCAAACACTTGGACACATAGAGGTCCTGTCTTTACAGAGGAAATAGAAGAACTGAAATGTTTGCTGACACCCCAAATGTAATACAGCTGCTCATCCCAGTAGGACAACTAACCCCATGAATTAATAGCCTCACTTCAGCATTATATATAACAAAGACAGCCATCAGCAGCGGGACACTTAATCTCCACGCATACAGTTTTCCATGACTGCTCGCTGTTAGCTGAAAGCTTCTGCTTGTGTCTGACCTCAGCTGTATACATGGAAGTTTATATCATTTTCAAAACAAAACATGTGTTGGCAGCCATGTTTCTGTTGGAGGAATGTGTTTTAATGAGGCCTTTTCATCTCTGTGTGGCAGCTTGTGTATTGTGTAGCATCACGGCCTGGGTGTTGAGAAACAGATCTCAGTGCTTGAATCACACAAGGGTTGATATGGATGCTAAAAATAAAAAATAAAAACTGTGAAATGTCTACAGATGGAGGGGTAATCTTTCTAATCAGTGGAAGAATCTCATCTGTACATTTTTTGGCAGTTTCTGTCTCCAGACCATTGTCATCGCTTTTTTTTCACAGCTGTTTTCCCCATAATCCTCAACTATGCTGGTTTCAGACCAGCACTGTCACCAGCCATAAAGGCAGCCTGTGAAGACCCTGATAGGACAACTCGAAAAGACATGACTGAGGCTGAAAATCCCTCCTTAAAGCCAAGCATTTAAAGCAAGTTTTGTGGTCAACCATCAGTTAAAAACATCTCCTTTTGTACTCATCATTCTGGAGGAGGACTTTGCATGCTCTCTCACAGAGCCCTGATGTTTGCATGTGTTTGGGCTGAGGTTTGAAGGATCTTTCCAGTAATATGAAGTCAGGACTCTTGACAGTGAAGACTTGACCTCCTGGGGAGAACTTCAGTCCAGACTCACGGCTGGAGAGATGCTCTCCTGTCCTGCTACGACTCTGATTGAGATTGGCCTCCAATTCAGCCTGATCATCAGAGATGATGAATACCTGCAGCCAATCCAGTTGGCAGTTAATCAGCAGCATCCAATCAGGTAATGAGGACCTGCATGTTGGAATGGGAAGCAGACAACCCAACGGCTGTTTTTCAGTGGGAAGGAGAGAGAGAAGTTATGTTCTGAAGATTGTTGAAGCCACGGTTGTGCTGTCTGCCCCCGTGAGGATCATAATCTGCGAACTGTCTTTGATCAGAGAAAGCGACGGATCCTCAGAGGCAGGGTGTCTGACTCAGACATGGGAAATGAAGCACTGCATTTTCGATTATAAGAATTCTTTGCTGGAGGAGAAACCACCCATAAATTGGCTTTCCTTGGAACTTGGCATCCCTGAACCCCGAAAACTGAGATCTGGAGATGTTTACAGAATTGTACATGGAAAATTTGTCGGAAAAAAACATGTTTTCTCAGAGAATTAGTAAGATGAATTAGCAAAAATGCACAGTATTGTTGTTGAGTGATCTCCTACAGGTTCTCTGGGGAGGAGCGGCTGTTTCCAACGTGGTACATTAGCCTGAGAGAGTGCCAGAGGATGACTTTCTGATTTGTGGTCCCTTTTTAGGAAGCATTCCTGGGGGAAATTTGAGAGAGACCATTATGCAAATCCGCAGGTGCATGCCAAGACCACATAACTGGACTCCTGCCTGCAAGTACTTCAAGATGCCTCTCTGCCTTCCTGATAGTGTTCAGACCACAGTGTGAAGACACACGCCAGGAACATGTGGGTGTAGCACGGAGGGCCGTGGCCGTGGGGCCTGCGTGTCCACAGCCTTCAAGGAAAGCAATTAAGAGAACTTTTAACTTTTGGAGTCCTTGATCAGACACTGGATGAGTCAGGCTGCAAATATCCAGCTGTGTCAGAGGTTATTCCTATCACATCTTGTGCTGATAGGGCTGTCAGTTATGCCACCATCTCCATATGTGGAGAGGAAAAGGAGCCCTTGTTTCCAACTATGTTATTATCACATTCCAAACACAGCAGAGCACCCAAAAGATTGATTTCATTACGCTTTCAGCTAATGTGAAAGCAGCAGGTTCGAGTAAGCTTTGTTTATTTTCCTGTGTTCCTGAGGTATGTATTGTATGCGAGAGGAAATGAGAAATGTCTGTAATGGAAGGGGTTCAATTTGGCGGCTTATTGTGTGGAAGACTGAAAATGTTGAGGGTGAGACAAAGACTGGGACCCTCCTCATCATTCACTGGTGCTTAACTATCTGGGGAGATGTCAGAAGTTGAGTAGCTCTTCTTCCTATGTACTATGTAAATCTACTGCCCCCTTGTGAGTTAAACATGTACTCCATGTGCCAAAACAATGAAGTGCAAAGTTCAGTTTGAACTGTAAATACTTCTTTTGACGTGGATTATGTTTTGCAGAGGCAGCAGTGGCTCACAGCTCACATTTCTCGACCTGAACGTTGGGGGTTCAATCCAGATTTAAATCCACATATTTTATCTTTGCTTTACCAAACAGCCTCTGCCATCATTGGATGAATTTGGCACATAATTTAGAAGTGCTTTGAGATGTTTGTAGACTAGAGAAAGGACTATGTAATCACAGTCCACCACTGTAAAGGTGGCTGTGTGTGTGCAGCACCGGAGCCAAAGACTGATTTCCTGAAGGGGACGATAGGCTGCATCATAATGCACCACATCCTGTCATTTCATACTGTACTGATCATGTTGTTTTGTAGCATACCATTCTGTGTCATACTGCACCATACTGGACACCATATTGGATTTGTTTCATGAAAAAAGCATTCTATTTGCAAACCACCTTTTAGTTTTGAACATCAAAAATAGCAAAAAGATGATAACTTAATATTTTTATATTCCTTTTCTCTGTAAATTCAAACTTCCTTTATGGTTTCCATTTATAAAACTACTACTCTAAACCTGGTCTACAATGGTAGATGGCTGTCTTCTGCAGAGTCTGATTCTTCTCGAGGTGTCTGCTTGTTGACAGAAGGTTTTACATGTCAGTGCTTGATCATGGTGGATTAAGGTAAGTTCTCTGTAAATACTAAGAATAAAAAGTATGCTTGCATATATACATTAAATACGTGTCTAAGTGTCATTTGGTATCTTTGTTGTGAATGGACACCAAATAAAAACTGACTGACACATGTAAATGTTCAGTCCATGCCATCCCCAATAGTGTTAAAATTGGTGTGCATTAATGAGGCTTGACAATGTTAGTATGATGTGCAAAAAATGAGGTGAAGGGTTATAGATGTAGTCCATCATTTTTTATTCCCATAAACAAAGGGCCTGCAATGCAGAGAATCTCAAACATTCATCAGCAGAGGCTTGCCATTAAAAAAGAAAAAAAGTTACCCCCAGCTTCAAAGTCATAGGCAAATATTTCACAATATCTACATCGCTAAAAGCCACACTCAGGCTATCTAATCCAGAAACAACCCAAACATAAAACAAAGCAGATGCTCAAACAAAAAAAAAAAAAAAAAAAGAAAAAAAAAAACTAAACATTAAACAAGAACATAAAACCACAGGACAACCCTCCTTCATATTTGTTTATACTGGTCTTATCTAGTGGAACAACTGACAGTACGACAATGTTTAAACTACCATTACTGCGAATAAATATAGAATCAGCCATTGGTTTTGGTTCTGAACACAGTCGTAATGAAACATTTCCATAAGCACTTAAAACAGTTTCACTTTTCTCCTCGGTACACAAGGTCAACATTGCACAACCCAAACAAACACAAATCCATGAACCCTTTTATAAACCTCGTAACACTGTAGAGGGGCAGCAAAAGCATCTGCAAAACATCAGCAATTCCCAAGTCGACACTGTCACAGCTCTACTGAACTGTGTGTTAGTATAAACCTACAGTCAAAAGTTTTAAACCTTTATTGTTACAATATCATGAAGTTAAATCTCATGGCGGCTCAGTCAAACTTTCATCTGTTAGAATAATGTTAGCAGTGAACCTGCACTCACAATGCTCTTAAAGGGAACCTGAAAATACTCAAATCAAAACACTCAGAAGAAGACTTAACAATTATGTTTTCCTTTTTTTGCTTCAATCCAAACATTAAATGCTCGATGAAGACGCCGACGCACAGCACACAGAATTACGCAATGGCTAACAGACATGTTAACAGAGAGGGAATTGCTACACAGTTTTGAGAAAAACACAAAACAACTCAGAATGATAAATACTTACACAATAGCATTAAAAAAAAAACAAAGAGGGCGTAATCTCCACTGATATAATGCTTTAAGTTGTACTGAGGATGCAGGAGAATATGGCTAAAAGGTTGTATAGATGGGGCTGGAAGGTGGCAACTATAGATACGCTGTGTTTGCTTGGACATACACTTGCGTAGAAGGATGAAAAGGTAGCATATGAGATTTTGAGGTAAACCTATAAAAGGCTGTGGATGTAGAAGGAACAATCATACTGTATATATAACAAAATGTTTGTTATATATGGGTTTTCCCAAACATCAAACCAACACTCACATCCACGGTGACCCCTGCATGTTGCTGTAGAAATATCAGAATATAACAATTACCTATTAATATTTGTCTTAACTACACACCTCTCTGGATACAATCAGAGGCAAAGGGTATGAATAAGGCAGGTTTTAAAACACAACATAACAAAAACAGTTTCTGCTCCTGGCAAAAAATATTTCCACTGTATGGTTGAACACAAATATTATTTTCAAGACACAATAATTTAAAAACAAATATAAACAATAGAAATAATTGGCTTCTTTAAAAACCTATTTATATCGGACTGAAAATAAATGCAAAGAAATGATATAAACTCTAAATCCAAACGTGCAATAATAAAGTAATCCCTTCTCCTTAATCAATTAAGCAAAACGACAAAATGAAAATGTATGTATACACACTGGTATGTACAAGTGTTGAAATAAAAGAGTAATATTATTTATATTTACATACACACATCAGTCCCTGATCGTTTAAGGCCAAAGTGCTGTAAATGCAAGCAGCACCCACTAAACATGTAGGCTGCTTCTGCACTCAAGTGTTCTGCGGTTTGCGAAATGCAAAAGAAGCAGTTATACAGTATTACTCAAGGCCTTTGCTTTAGCGTCTTTCAAACATATAAAACTAAGCTAACTTCAGCAATAAGAAATAAAACTAGCCTAAACCTCGCCTTTTTCAGCAGTTTGAGTTTTCCTTTTTTACAAAAGCCGAATTTTTTTTTTTATTCTTTTTATGTACATACAGTAACACCAGAGTTTGTATGTTTGAGTTCCGTTTTAGCACCGCCCTCTCCAGCCTCCCTGTAACACCCTCTCATCCTTAGAGAGCGTTTAGAGGGAGTCAAGGTGAGTCTCTGCAAAAGAAGCTTTCTGTTTAATACCGGTTAATGCAGGGAGCCGGTGTACTGGAGGGGTGCAGTGCTGGTCTCCTCTCCTGTAAGTGGGACCGCAGTGCTTTCCAGTGAAGGGTTAGTCAGAGCATGCCAAAGCCCTCACTGCCTTCACTGATGGCCAGCTTTAACATCTTGTGCAGCTCCTCGTAGGAGTCATAGGTAGGGAGGCACAGCTGGTTAAAACTAGACAGAGAAGGAAATGTTGAGAGTCTGACAATGCGTCCATATATCATTGAAAAAAACAACAACATAGAATTTTTTTGCAGCTATTAAATTTGTTAGTGTTGCATCATTTCCTGGCTTGAAAGCTTTATCCTTCTTTTTAGAGTTGAGTAAATACTGTTGCAAAAAAATAAAGAAAAGAAAAATCAGCCACACATTGGAAGTGTCATGTTTTGTCATGGTCATACACTCTGAAAATTGAGTATGTGTTCGGTGGTTCCATAAAATAGCATTTTTTACTCCTCTTTGTGGATACTTGGACAAAACTCTGTTATGCCCTTTAATTTGAGGACAATAATGACTTTGTTTTTGATGAGAGAGAGAGGCCAGCCGTGTTAGCATATTTGTGAAGCTGCAGGAAATCACAGCGAGGCTTTAAGCATGAGTCATGCCTGCAGTGATAATTTGAACATGCTGAGGTGCCATGTAACATTTTAGTATGTACAAAATCAGCTTAAATCACCAAACACATAATGCAACAAGAAGACGGGGAGATTCAACTGTGGACTGAAATGTTTCTCAGATATTTTGTGCTTCTAGTAAACAGCAAGAGGGGACAGATGATAGAAATCAAGGGAGAGACAGACACAATTAAAGTCTTTAGCCAGACAATTATAATTTGTTCCTGTTTGTGTTGCTCAAGAAAGGATACGCCACCATGATCCAAGAATGTTTGTAAAAACTTAGCAGATGTGGAGGCATTGAAAATGTTGGAAAATACATACTTTAACCTGCAGATATGTATTGACATTAAGTCTGCAGAACTAAAAACCTTTTCTTAAGTTGCTTTAACACATATGTTTGTGTGTGTGTATTTGTGTGTACATTCTTCAACTCACCACGTGTGTGCAGTGGGCAGGGTGCTGTGTGTGGGGGCGGCGATGATCTGAAATGAGGGACATAAAGTGTTGAATCCTCCGGGGGGAAGCTGAGAGGAGCCGGTGGTGAACTGCAGCAGGCGAGCTAACTCCTCCTGGGTGAAGCTGGACACCACGGCCCAGAACCACTTCATCACCTGAGGCAAAGGAAAACAAACACTCCTTAGAGCCTCGCACCAGCATCCTGTGGTATAACGGAAACCGAGACTGAGAGCTTCTGTGACATACTTTCTCTCTGAAGTGCCACGACCCTCCTACGATCACAGCGTGAGCCTTAAAGTCCTGCACGTTTATGTCTCCAGTGCCACACATCAACAGCTGAGTGGGTCAAAGAAAGCGAGAGAGAGAGTGAGAAAACAATTACCCAGCATTCTTTTCAGGATCAACAGGACTTTATTATAAACATCACACATACCTCCAGCTCATTCTCATCAAATATGGCTAGAAGGTTTTCTGGAACCAGCTCATTCAAACCTGCAATTGATCAGGAAATTACGCTAATTATGTGCACATTACCGGAGATTTTCAATGAAGGAAAGCTGGCAAGAGTAAAAGGCTGAGATAGCAGCTGTGCGAGTTTGCTTACCTTTCAGGAAGTGTTCCACCTCATCCCTCACCTGGCTGGCCAGTCTGTACTGGGCCAGCAGGTTGAGATAATGCATTTTGTTTTCATTGGTAACAGCTATCTGAGCCCCCCCTGATATCAGCTCCACCACCTGCAGGAGGGGAACATGTGGCGGGATATAAATGTCAGATAAATTACATAAAACAATCAACAACACAGGACGTTAAACTGCTTTAAGTCTTATTATCATGTGGCTTCAAACAAAGGGAAGATTTAGTGGCTGGATAACGATATGTAAGAGCCCGGAACTTCTCTGACCTGTAAAATTTATTTACAAAGGTTCAGCACATGTGTTTCGCAGCCACACTCTTGTAAGCATTCGTCCAAATGATTCGACAATTAATCTTTGGGTTTTAAAAAAGTCTGTTTAGAGAAAAACATGCGTATCTAATTAAAAAGAGGTAGCCTCGACTCTGTTTCAACACAGAGACTTCAACAGCCTGTTGTTGTGTGGCAGCGAAGTTTCAAAAAGGACTGCTGACGCCAAATTCTATTCATCCACCGCTCTTTAAGAAGAACGAGACGCTTGCCAAACAAGCAATATGGTTCCTCTTGTTTGGATTATTGCTCCTATCTGCCCTGGGATGACATCAGGGATAAAAGGGGACGCTCCCATCCAAAGCGTTGCCTCACCTTCTCCAGCTGTCCCGACTTGCTGTACTTCTCCTCAGCGAACACCAGGTCCATTTCACTCACGTCATTGTTTAGGATGAAACACACTTTAGTTTTGTAGAACTCCTGGTCGTCCGTCTCAAAGTACTGCATGTGGGAAATTGAGGGAAAAACACAAGAAAATGATGTTTTTCAAATAAACAAAGCACTTCATCTTCTTTTGTAAAAGGCGATTGGTCAGCTTTAGCTCTCAGCCTTGATATCTAAGGAAGTTGGATAAACAGCGAAGACATGCAGGCCGGGTCTCCCTGACCTAAATAATGCCAAAAAACAACTCAGAATTCTTGGCTTTGTGAGGACTGTCGAGAGTGATGAGAGGGACCGGCTGACAGAAGAAGGTAAACAATGAAAACATGACCCTGTAACCTCTGGAGAAAACAGATTTTCTATGGGAGTGTGCTGTGTTCCATACCTTATAGTTCATCCTGAGGCCAATGATTTGTGCCAAGAAGGAACGAGTAAAGCGAGCTCGCACCAGCTGTTTGTAGGCCCCACCCAGAGCAGACTCGTACAAGCACTTGCCCACGATGCGACCTGCAAACTCGTACATCTTAAGACGCAAGTGGGCCGGCCGCTCAGCATTCGGGTGCACCTGGGAAATCAAGAGGTTCAGATGGACTGATTGACCGACTGAAGTTTGAAATGTGCCTTGCATCACAGCAGCTTCACTACAACTGTTGAGTTTAAAGACAAGATACACAGATACCATATTTCAACAAACAGTCTTCTTTAAGGTACTTTTGATCCACTTCTGAGCTACAAGCTTAATTCAGGACCAGAAGGCAAACAAAAGAGTGTGTTACTTACTGAAACATAGGACCCTGTATCTATGACAAGCAGTTTCAACATTTATTAGCTGGACTGGATGAATATCAGCACCATCTGTAATTGAATTTTTCATTCTGGATACTTGAAATGAAAACAATGACTTTAAACAAACGGGTTTTAGTTGTTTGAAATGGGGGTTTTCCCAGGGAGAGTTCTATTGCAGATGACTGCTCATCATGAGACTGGTCCTGCCTGTTCCTGGGATTCGTTGTCTTTGCGCTGGCAGTGCCTATTTTTTACCCAAACCAAATGCAGTTCAACATTTTTATCACTTAGCTTCCCCTGCTCCAAAAACAACCTCAAATGATTTTAGTCACAGTGCTCATACTGCCCTCGGTTTAAAATGGCTAAACTTTTTGTGCGCTGCAATGCTCGTCAATGCCACGTCTTGATCACCGACCAATCGGAATCAAAAAGGGGCGGGACTGCTGAAATCAACTATGTCTGTGTGTGTAAGAAAAGAGTCGGAGGTGCATATAGAGTCGAGGCTTACTGCACCTGTTTATTCCACACTGTTTCCATCACAGATTTCAGATTTTCTTGGTGAAACGCTGATTGAATGAAAGCAAATGTGAAGCAAATAGAGCAATTCAAAACAGACTCGACAGTCACCGTTAAGGAATGTAGAAGTGCTACAGGAACACTTTTGCAACCTTGCAGTAATGAACCCTGGTGAGAGGTGCTTTGAGTTAACAGATGGAAAAAAAAAAAAACCTGTGTTCAGGGACTCCACCTCTTGCTTGTTGAATGTTGTCTAATTTTTTTGTTCATGAAGGATGTGTCGCTGTTGAAGAGTGCACAATACATGGACATAGACTCTATGGACTCTATGTCCGTTTTGTTTCTAAAGTGTATCAGCTACAGTCGCCACATCGGAAATGCTGACTCAACCTAACTTTTAGTGAACCTTCCAAGTGGCTACAAGGTGGACTTGAGGCAGGCCTTTAGTTTCCTTGCAAATAGCCACGGCATGCCTGCTGGTCAGTCAAATCAGCCAAGCCTCTGGTTCTAAACATGCAAACTTAAAATCTTTTCAACAAATGCATTAGAACAAAACGACTTCCTGTACAGTGTGTGAGGACAGAGAATAAGCTATCCAGACTAAGACCATTTTTGAACCAGGCTGTAAGCATGTTTATCTTCACCCTAACGATGGTCTCTTTTGAAGGAGTGTGTACTGTATGTAGTTTCCAGTGCTTCTGCCGCTAGCCACAAGTGCAGTTTTTTTGCACTTCTCTGTTAGCTTTACTTCTCAAGACCAAAGGTCGTCACTCTGTCCCTGTTAGAACTGGGGTTTTCTAGATTTTAACACTGTTAAACCTCCCCTGGTATGGTATGAGAAGACTAACTTACCAAACCCTGGTTGTTGTCACTGAAGCGGGTAAAGAACTGATTGGAGGTGTCAAAGAGGGTCTTACAAATCAGCTCAAACCACTCTCTGCGAGGCCCTCCCCAATCCAGAGCTACAGGGAAATGTAGACATATTTAAGAGTGTTAGACCCCTTAGGAAAGATACTCTCATTAGGATGTGGCATTATGAACTGAACTGGACTGATGACATGTTGTTTACCTTCTTCATCTTGAAACACCACCTCAAAGTTCTTGCTCCAGTCTGACACCGAGAAGTTCCTTGTAGCCTTCAGGGACTAAGCAGCAGAAAAACAGGGAGTCAAACTTTACTGGAGCCACATGACATACTTATGATTACGTGCTTATTATTATTGATAGCACTTCTCTAATAAAGTAAAGCAGCGCGCACTGAATCAAGGATGGAGTGACGTGTTATCTTGAGGCAGGTCTTGGTGCGAGGTCTCTTGGAGTGGATGTGCCTGAGTTCACGTTGAAAGAAGTTCACTTTATCCTGGAAAGTTTCAGAGCCACCTACGGACGGAATCATAAAATCACTGCGATATTCAATAAAAAGAGGAACAAACCAGACAGCACAGCTCAAGGCTAGGGCAATAAAATTAAGATGAAAACAGACCAATGTTTTTGTGCAGGAAGCGAATAAAGGTGGCAGCCATGATGTTTCTGTCTTTGCAGCTGAGCTCCACAGGAGGCTGAATCCCATCATCCACCACCAGAGTTAGGTACTTGTGAACTGGATCAGGACCATAATAGGTAAACTGAAAAGAGAGTAAACAAGACGTGTTAAAGGGGGGCAGGTTTTTTCAGGGTCCTCTGCAATCTGTGATCAGTTGTGCTTACCTTCGTTCCAGGACACACTCGAAAAGTGAAAAGGCGCCATGGAATAATTTTCAGGTAGAACTCCTTCACGGATAATTGCTGTTTGACAGAAAAAGAGAGTCATCTTACATTGATTTTCCAAGATGACAATACAAGATTTTTGTCTACTTATTTGATTGTGCTCACCTTTGGCGATATATAACAGTAGACCTTTTTTGGTTTCTTGACCTTTTCAGGTTGTCCCTCCACAGGAGAATCGTGCTCATCCTCCTCCTCTCCCATTGAAGGCCTCCTTTGAGGGGCCAGCAGGGAGGAGGCTGGTAACTGCCACGAAGAGCTGCTGTAGTTCCCACTGCTGTAAAGGTAGGCCTCAAAGTAGATACTTATGCCTGGAGTGGACACGTTCTTCTCCACACAGGCCTTCTCATTCTCTGTCATAAACCAAATATAATAAACATTAACCTCAAAGTGCAGTCTGCATTTCTAGCCACAATTTCCACTCATGTTACTGAAGGCTGCTCACCACTGAGAACAATAATGTCAAATTCCCCGTTGCTGAGTGGCTGGTCCTTGTAGGAGATGCGAGCCCTGAAACAGCCGGTCTTTCTCAGGGTCAGTCTCAGCAGAACCTGGCACTGCTGCTTGTTGAGGGTTACTGATTTGCTGTAGTACTCCTCCATACTGTCATCATCCACTGTGCCCAGCTGGAAGAGGAAGAAAGCCAGAATAAATCCCAGCTCAGCATTTTGTAAACAACTACGTTACTATACTGTAAAGGCTTATGACTGTGCAACCGACACCACAAGCATTCAAAGAAACACTGGCATTGATTTTTCCCTTTATAAACAAGAGGTTGTTCTTTAAATTACACTAAGAGGGATACGTTTTTAACCGGTGATGAATTGGGTATAGATCAATACTAAGTGTACGTTGAAGAGGCCTGTTAAGTGTTAAAAACATAGTCCAGAAATGTGGAAAATAAGGTGAGGGCGTTCATAAATATCTTTGACTTTTTAATCTCTGCTCGCTTGTAAAAAAATAAAAATAAAAAATAAAAAGGCATCATTTGGCGCTAGCTTCTCCCTGAATCCCCCATGACACACAAGTGGATTGTTACCCATAATACTGATGTCACGGGAAGGATCACTCTTTTGTTTGTGTCTACAGAACGATGTTTTTGTTCAAGATGTGATTAAGTAAACCAAATTAAAAAGGCCCAGACAGATTTTGCGGAGGTGACCAGCCATGGATTTTGTAATGCTGTCTCTGCTTAGCAAACTGCATTATCTTTTGTTGTTCTTCTTCTCTTTTGAAGTCTCTCCCTTGAAATGTTTATAATTACTCTCAGGTCCTCACTTTATTTCCTCTAAAATGTGCTTGGTTTCAAAAAAAATAAAAAGAAAGAAAATTAAAAACAAAAACAGTGGAAAACTTAAAGAGGAAATTAAGTGGTTTTCTGTCTTGGTGCTGTGTAAATCAAATTGCTGTACTAAAAACAAAACAAGAATTTTTCAAAAGTAGTAGCCAAAGAAAAGGGGTCTTATGGCGAATATCTAAAAATACAGTTCAATTAAACTGAAATGTTCTGCATGTTATTTTTGAGACCGTATCTGCAGCTGAGAGAACTCCAGCTGACTTATCCAAACAGAGGCTGTGTCAACAGCTAGCTACTGTTCCTTATGTTGAAACCAACCATTTGAGTGACCTCATACAGCCCCAAACGACCTCTTTATTACATTTATGATAGACAAAGACAGTGTTTGTTCACTTACAGAGTGCACATGGACACTGTAGTTGGCCTCGTCTGTGAGAGACGTGGAGTTACTGGTGGGGTTTCCGTACTCATCCCTGGGCTCAATCTGCAAAGTGTGCTGCTGGCAGTTTGTTAGCACCAGCGTGGAGAAGTGGTAGGCTATCTTGGTTTTGGATGGAACAACAGTACCTGAAGTGATGAGAAGAAAGAGAAGCTACTCAATCAGAAACTTAATGGTTTTTGCTTCATGATACTGGGCCTGATTGCAGAGAAAAACAGGAGTGGTACCTGGTTGAAATATCTTGTAATAAGGGCTGTAGGCTACATTGAGGCCACCCAGCTTCACAGCAACCTCATAGCGTCCGGCCTTGCGCACCGTGAAGGCCACTTTGACAACATTGGATTCTGGTTCTTGCAGGACCTCCTGTGTCACAGGGATGTCCAGAGCCAGTTCAATGTGGGTGATGTTGACCCTCAGCCCCACAGGCCGATGAGCTGGGAAAGGTTGGCCATTTTTATAAAACAGCTGCAAAGACGGAAACAGAAAATTAATCTCATCAGTACAGAAAAGTTAGTTGAACTTTTTCTTGGAGAGGTTTGCCAATAAACACTTGTACTGAAAATCAATCCAAGAAAGACAAAAAAACACCCTTTTTTTCATAGATCAGGACTGAATTGTCACCTGGACCCTGAAGCTCATAGTCTGCCCCACTTCCTGCGGCTCCTTCCAATCCCAGGACACCTTGCAGGAGCGTGGGTCCAGGTAGTTACCCCGGACATAGTCGTAGATGCTGCGGTCACCGCGTCGCCCTGGATCCTCATTCTGCAGGAAGCTGACAACTCTCGCTGCAAGCTCACAGAGGAACTTGATGGTAAAGACAAACGCTATGATGGAAACAGTAATTCCACCTGCAGAGGACAAAAATATGAGCTGTTTAATCACATTTAACCAGGCTGCTGCAATCCCAACCTGACACTTATTGGCAAACCATGACACAAAAGACACAGCAAAGGAAACCTCTAACTGCTGATCCGTCAAAATAAATCCTGTATCAGGCATGAAAATGAAAACATTTCACTTTCAAAATTTCAGAAACTGGTCTCCTTGGTTCTCGAATGTTTACAGAGTTCTGTTAAAAGAAGAGGTGAAACAATGGTAAACACATCCCTGTCCCAACTCTTTTCAAATGTGTTTTCAGCAGCATCTTTAAAACACGCCTTCTTATTGGTAGAATAATAAAACTTTTCATTTCTAACATGTGATAGGTCTTTTTTGAACTCTTGTATTGAGGCAGACACTGTAAATGATTTGCAGGCTATTTAGTTCGATTATCAAAATTTTACACTGCATCTAAATTCTTAACAGAACAAGGGTTGTAAAACAAAAGCTTGGGTTATGAAACCACTTTAAATCAATGTGAGTCATCTTAAGTAACTTGTTAAAAGTTTATGACTGTAGAGAGAATGAGTCATGAAGCGTTAAAAACAAAAAGTTAACTCACCAATCACGTAAAACATGAGGTCCCTTATCAAGAAGCACAGTGCCACAGTACAGCCAAATATAAGAGCTCCAGCTGAAAAGATAAAGACCAGATTGGAAGAATGAGTGCTCAATTATCGATTACTTGACTGTGAGAAGAATGTAAAGGTGATTGTCAACACAGAGTAACAGTCAAGGATTATCTAAGAGCAGACTGTGGCTGTGGAGAACAAACTTTGCCAAGGATAAAGCTCTGATCACAGACTCTGGAGGGCCAACTGTAAACATTTCCGTGCAGAAAAAATTGGTTATTTTGGGTGTTTGTGTGTTTACAGTGGGACAACTGAGAAAAAAAGATCAAAACAGCTGAGGAAAGGGGCCGGATGAGCTGAGGACAAAAAACAAGCAAAAGAGAAATCCACAAAAACAAAGAAGGATCATTGCTCCCCTTAGATGTTGGTCACGCCGGGGTACTATCTTAAACCCCACAGTCTGAACCTGCAGGTGGATATTGGCGAAGTGGTGGGGCTAAAAGTCTGAGTGCAGCACTGATGCAGGGCAGCAAAGACAATGGGGGAGCAGTTAGTGAGACCCCTGAACTGGAAGATTAAGTTTGTCAAGTCAAAGTGAAAAGTCAAGTGTGAAATCAATACAGCTCAAATTGCCTTCCTGAACGAAGCTTCTTGGTCTTACATCTAGGTTTTTACTTCAACAAAGCTGTTGAGTTGACCATCACCATGGATACAGCCAAAACTGTGAGTGAGTTTGACTATTTTCATGGGAGTAAATGAAATTATTTTTATACTAAGTAATAATAAATACTTGGTATAAAATGGTTTGTTTCTTTAGCAGCTCGATGTGTTGTATGTTTTCAGTGAGAAGTTCTGAACTTCAGAAAAAGTTCAGAACTGGCAAAAAACTCCAATTTAGCAAGAATCAAGCTTGTGCAATCGGAAAGTTAAAATATAACAACACTTCCTCATTTGATGTTCTTCATTTATCCTTAATAGAAGTGACTGCTGTGTTTTTATGAGAATGAAAAGGACAACACAAACAGATGTTGGGATGAAGCAAGACAACATTAAACTTCTCCATGACAACAGAGTGACTCTTGGAGTATCACCATTTGTAAAAACACTTAAGAAAACTTAGCAACAGTGGACTCCCGCTTTTGTTTACGTCTTATATCTCAAAGCTATTTCTGAAATGTCTTTTTTGATCAATGACATCTGTGCTATGACAAAAGCAGAGCATGTTCGGGAGCTCACCAAGTGACCACTTCTCATTCAGACGCCTCTCAGCAAGACTGTGCACCAGCCGGATCTCGTAGTCCTGGTCCCTGCTCCCTCTGGACGCCTGGAGGATCTTGATGCCCGTGGACAACTTGATGTAGTCTTCGTAGTAGTAGCCCCAGGCAGCTAGAGACAGCTGCAGTTGACTGTCAAAGTGAGACAGATCATCCAGATTCAAACAATCCAAGGTCTTCAGCCTGGAGTGGAAAACAAAAGGAAAAGTGCATGAGGTAGATGAGTAACAGAAATGAAAGCAAATATTAATTACATGTACAACTCCTACTTACAGTAAGTATGACTCATTACTGCGCGAAAAAAATGCAGACTGATCTGTGACCAACTGGTTGTCCCACATACTAAACAAACAATGAGTACAAACAATGTGTGCTAAGAGTGACCTCAATCTTATCAGCTGAATTCTAAAAGCATGTCAGCTGGGTGAGAAGCAGGGAGGTGTGGCATGTTAGGCCGAGCCATCAAGACGAATTCAGGTTGGACGGGTGGCGTGTTTATGGCATCCGAAGTACAGATGGGTGGCAGAGCGGCAGATAAATGATTGTTACCATTTATAGGAATCAAAACCTCGCCTTGTAAAACAGCTATTCAAAACCATTAAACAACAAGCAATCCAATGTCAAGTTTGAATAAACAGGTCGAAATTTCCAAGTAATCCTGACACTACATGAATGAGTAAACTTATACAATGGGTTCATTGTTTGTCTTTTGAATAACATCCGAAACGTAACACTTAGTACTTGGGAAAATAGCATGTGACCTGCTCCAAACTGACACTTTCCACTGGTAGTTACACATCTTTTAACAAAGCCGGCAAACATAACTTACTTTTTATCTATGAGCATGAAAATTGAATTGAACTGGCATGCTGGTGCTGCACTGATCTAACAGTGTGTAGTGATGATAATATCTATCTTGTGTTTGCAAGCAATAAAAAGGTTGTTGAATAAAATCATTTCACCTGATTTCACCTCTTACTTGTTTTTCTACTTTTCTTTTAAGGTTATACATTTTAATCCTCCCGCTGGTGTTTCAATGTTTTTATGAGAAGTGAAAAAGAGCCTAAGTGGCACTTCAACTTTCCCACTTTGAGTTTTCCTTTATTCAAAGTGATAAAGGTTATAAGCCTGACAAATAATGACGGTAACAACACTTTAGTGGTTGTGACCTTCATGTTGTGACACAGCTTCCCATTAAGAACATGGGACAGGGTATCTCTGTAACATGATGACCACAACATGACCTCATGTTCGACAAACTCTGATGACCTTTCGCAACATCACAACTGACAGTCTTTAAACATGCAACGTTTTGATAAACCTTAACTTAACCTACAATTAAACAGACTGCATCAGTAGATAAAATCTGATACACACACAAATCTCTGCAATGCTGCAGGGTCTCCCATGAACAGTCTCTGAAGAATACTTTTACTGCAGTGACCCTCAGAAACGCTGCAGCCTCCTCACAGCTCGATGTCAGCAAACTCAGCTAGCCATGAAAGGAGAGGCTGCCCTCAAGTGGACAGGAACCAATATAGCCTGAGCTTCACATCATCCAGCACTATCAGAACTACTCAACAAAAACATACAACTTTCGAGAAACAATCTATACTTCAGACACAAATTTATGTTCCCGAAAAAAGGAAAGCTGCCTGTGACTGATGTCAATATTGAGGTTTCTATCTTGCATTACTCACGTATGATAATAGTGCTCCAGGTTCTGGGAGCAAAGCCACTCCTGGAAGGCAAAGTCTCGGAGCAGCTGGATGTGGGCCTCTGCAATTTCCCTCCAGCGCTGCTGCTCCTTCACCACTTCTTCCAGACGACTCAGTACACTCAGGCTCAGCTCCTCCAGAGTCTGTACATCTGGATGGCACATGGACAGCACATAAAAACCCTAATCACAAACAAGCCAATAAATCAACATCAATAATGCCCCAGGTCTGTTAAAATACAGATATAAGCCTATTATGATTATCAATGCATGACAAATGCATCTCATATTCCAGAAAATGTGGGGCTCAGCTCAAAACATTTCCAGGGTAGAAACAATTAGAAATAGGATATCGTTGCATAACAAGCCCCGTTCTAGTAAAACCCAAAACTCATCCCTTCAATTTCTGCTAAATCTCTGGAGAGCGCTCCAAAACCAAAAGATTGTAGTCAGAATAATCCTTACCAGAAATTTTCAAGCAATTACATCCTATTTGGGGAAGTCACTGAAGAGACACTACCTTACATCATCCTGAATGATATGCCATTTAACAAATACTGCATGGTTATATAAATCTTCAATGAAGATGAGTGCGACCCACCAACCTTCAAATAAGTGCCTGTATTGAGAGAGGCTATGTCCTTGGAGCCATTCCTCAATCTGACTTTCTTTTCCTTTCTTCCAGCGTACTTCCCAGAAGAAGATCCACGACACTGAGCAAAAGATGAAGGTCAGGAAGAAGCGGCGGTCCATCAGACCATCTTTCAGCCTTCACCGAGACCCTCTAGTGCTCAAAGGAAAACTGCCACTCAAGAGGACGAGTCTGGTCTCCTACAATCAAAAAGTAAATAAATAAATAAAATACTTTTGCTGGATGTCAATGTGAGAAATGTTTCAGAAAGCAGGTTGAACCCAGGTACACTAAACTACTTTGCTCTGCCATGAAAACATGAATATTCAAGTGTCACCTTGGACAAGTGCTGGCTGATGGGAGAATAACATGACATGTAATCCACAACACTAAATCATGCATGAAGCCTTTGGCAAAGGGATGATCATAAAACTTCAACAAGCCTCTTTTAAGACAGAAAAATCACAGAGATTAAGTCAACTTAAAGGCTCATGATTACACTCTAAATCTCAGTCAACAACAGTCTGGATGATGGTAAATTTATCGAAAACAATACAAGAGGCTCAGGTGTCGCCACCCGCCGCTTGTCCTAAACTACAAATTAGCTAACTAAAAAAAAAAACCCAGGCACAAAGAAAAGGTTACAACAACTGCAATCTCGTCAATTTTCGCTTATCTACTTTCTCAATGTAAAGTCAAAGTCTAAACATTTGTTAGCATCTCCCTGACATACTGTTGTTATAGCGAACACAGCTATGCTAGCAGCTAACCGACAATGTCCGCGTGGATTTAGCGAGCATGACGCCACATGGTCCGAGCAAACATCCCAGCACGTCCACGAGATAAAGCTCCAAACGACACGGCAACAGAAAGCCAGAATGCAAATGAAGTAAAACCCACACTTAATGCTATTAAACAGCTACCTTCGTCTGTCAGGTGATAGCTTAGCAACCGGAATATACGCAGAAACGAGTCGACTGTTGATTGCGTCACTAGTAATCGCAGCGATACACGAGGGGCAGGGGTCCGAGGTTTTAACATTTACCCAAAGGGTCGGGATTTCACATTTAAAACATGGTTAGTACATCCTTATTCTTTTCCTACTTATCTGCGACTATCTTGACAACAGTTTTTCATCAAAATGCGCTGTTTTCACCATCTCCAAAGCATGTAATTTATCTTGTTTCTGCGTTAGCTCGCATTAGCCAAGCGTTCATTAAAGTTTTCCCCAACCTGGACTATCAAAGGGTATTCATTGAAAAAAATACATTTATATCCATCTTAAGATCTTCGCCACAACACTGGTAAAACTGAAAAGAAGTTGTCTGTCCCTAAAATACGACTGTAAATATGTGTGAGTTTACAATGCTAAGCTGGTCAGTGCGGTGTTTGTTCAGTACATTCAGTTCATTTGTATGTATTTCTTTATTCAGCACAGATTAGAAACAGTGCAAGGAAGGAACAGAGCCAATAGGCTTATACAGAGTTCCACTCCCGCCAGGGCAGTGAAGGCATAGGTTGCAAACGACAATTTAATTTGGACATAGACAGATTATAAATATACAATGAGTAGGGAAAGGTCAAAACATACACAAACTGTCATAAATAGAACATAGACAACCCATCAACCAGTGATAGACACATTATAAGTATACATAAAAGGGAAAGAAACATGATCATAACAAATAATAATGTTTATTAAGACATGATTAGATGATATTTCAATGATATTTAAAAGGATTTGAAGGATAATATTGATTTTAGATATGCATCCAGATTATTCCATAGTTTCAGTGCTCTAAAAGTGATATTAGACTGATGACAGTAAGTTTGACAGAAAGGTAACTGAAGATGGCCATTTTGTCTTTCCAGATGTTGTTTCTCTGTTATTAAATATTAAACCCTAACAGACATGCTTGTATTTGGTTTTAACCAAATATAAGTTTCTAGGTAGATCCAGCACAGTTTTAGATAGATGTGCTTTGAAAAGACAACACTGTTGGTTGTACTGTCTTGGTTTTAAACTGTGTCTGTCTCTTTTCCACACAGGGGAAAGCAAAGACAAAGCAGTTTGCGGCAATGAAGAGAATGATATCTCTAAAAGATAACAGAATGTAAGACAAGATTTGTTTGGTGTATTTCAGTCCTTTTAGTTAATGGTCAGTGTCTCTTTTGGTAATTGGATATAACATTTGGAAACAGATATCAAAAATAGAACAACGATTGGTTGTTTGATTTTTTCAGACTGTATTCTCTCAGCAGTCACCTCACTATTGGCAGCAGGCTGTGTGACGGGTGACGACCCTCGTATAGTAGGCCTGTGTGGTGGTCCAAAATATTTACATTTATTCATTAAATGGTTACATGTAAAAGCAGAGGGAGTGTTGAAAAAAATAACTGTCAAAAGTGACTTATTAACTCATCCAGAATACAGTCTGACCAAATTACAAACCCACATTGATTTGAGCTGTTTTTGTAATAGATTCTTCATGAATTGATATGTGCTGATGAGTTAACTAAGACTATTTAGTATTACAGACCGTAACCAGTCATTTTGTGTTTTTGATATCTGTTTTCAAAAGTTATATCCAATTACCTAAAGAGACACAGACTGTTAATGAATCCATCCTATTTTTCCTTACGATTTATCAAAACAAAACCTCTATGTTGTTTTGAGGTAAATTTTATTGTATCTTGTTTTGTAGAAAGGAGAAGGATCGAGCAAAAGCAAAGCAGAAAAAGAAGAGGGATCCATCAGCTCTCAAGGAGAGAGAAGTGTAAGTCATTCATGAAAGTTTAATTTTGATCAAACCTTGTAGCGTGGGCTTTTTCATCAGATTTTCTTTATTTCTTTGTAGGCAAAAGCACCCTTCGTGCTTATTCTTCCAGTACAATACGCAGCTTGGTCCACCATACCACATCCTGGTCGACACCAATTTCATTAACTTTTCCATCAAGGCCAAACTGGACATTGTTCAGTCCATGATGGACTGCCTGTATGCAAAATGTATGTACAAATCCCCTGTGGTAATTTTGGCATGTCGACAGTTGTCCATGTGATTGTTACGACAAAATTAAGAATGTTACAATTTAACCATGGCCTTACTTTTCTTTTTTATCATTTGACCCACTCCAGGTATCCCATATATCACAGACTGTGTGATGGCTGAGATTGAAAAGCTAGGAATGAAGTACAGAGTTGCACTCAGGTACAAGCTGTTGATTATTTAATGGCAGCAGAACATGACCTAATGCATAGATGAAGAGACACTATATATATATATATATATATATAATTATTATTCCTTTTTTTTGTTGTTTTTTTTTTCCATTTTTGCAGGATAGCCAAGGATCCAAGGTTTGAGCGTCTGCCATGTACACACAAGGGAACATATGCTGATGATTGCTTAGTCCAAAGAGTAACACAGGTGATATTCTTTCATGTACAATCCACACAATATGCATATATGCAAGAACTGTGTTGAGTTTGTTTTCAGGTTCCCATAGTGTGAATGGCTCTCTAGAAAATTTAATGCACCTGAAACATTGTGTAAAAATTCATTTTGCTTTTGCCTTCTCTTTTATGGCAAGTTAAAAAGTGTGCAGTAAAAAGTTTGTTGGAAACGTTCCACTGAGTCCTCTTTGCAGGTACAAAGCATGTCGTCAGAAATCATGTGAATTTAATTACTGTAAGTGTAGAGTGTTGTGGGTGCAACAAACTGTGTTCATATAAAAAGTGATTTTGGACCATGCAGTGGTCATGTCAGTTTTAAAGGAAGTGCTGATTGACGGCCTAAATATAGCTGCCATCCTGCAGTGGTTCTTGGTCTTGTCCCTTTTGTACAGAGATTACCCCTGATTTACTGGATCTTTCAGTGATATTTTTTACCAAAATAAATAGAATCCTCAAATTCTTTCACACACAGGAACTTTATCTTGGAATTGCTGAACTATCTTGTTACCAGCGTCCCAAATCTTATGGAAATGGAGTTGAGGAAAAAAGTGATGAAAACTCTGAATTGATCCTGTTGAAATGAAATGACATACATAGTGCAGTGGTACTATGGTACAGTGGAAAGTCATAGATTAAGACTTACTAAACTACTGTGATAAACAAGGGACTTAACTTTGTAGATGTGTGTGAACATTTTTCATAAAAGCTTAAACAAGATCATTTGAATTGCCAACAAAACTTGTTTAGCCATGTTTGATAATTGTACCATATACTGTCTCTGTCATATGAACAGCTGAAGGCAAAAAGATTTTTTTATTCAAACAAGGTAAAGCTGTTCCGTGTCACAGTAATGCTTTGACACTCAAAAGTAAATATTTAAATATATTTTTTCACAGCACAAGTGTTATATCCTGGCCACTGTGGACAGAGATCTGAAGAGAAGGGTCAGGAAAATCCCTGGAGTCCCCATCATGTACATCTCAAACCACAGGTAACACAATCAAATGTTGTTCAACATATAGAGCAGTTTAAAGTGCGTTTGTGTGTTGTTGCATGAAATGTGAGAATGTATATACTGAACACAGTATGAGCTGTTAATCACTTTCACTGTCATACAGGTACAATATTGAACGGATGCCAGATGACTATGGCGCTCCAAGGTTATAGTATTCCTCCAACTGGACCAGAGCTGTAAATAAACTGATATTTCCTTGCTGATTTGTTATGTACTTCAAATATCATGTGAGAGTTTGAGGTTTGATTTGACAGGATCAGTTGCATTTCTTTGAACTGAAATTTAGTTATTTAGTTTTGCTGTTCTCATTAAAGATTTTGCCACAAGAATACTGAAAAATTACAACGCCTGTCCTCTTCCTTTTTTAAGTTTTCATACCCTTAAAGTGCAGAGCTACTACATGAGCAGAGATTTCTTATTCATTTTTCTGCCCCTGGATTTTTACATTTAATAGTTTATTTATTTTTACTCAATTTCCTGTAAACAGTTTTCATCCTAAAAAGGCTCATTATTGATAAGAGTTAATATGAATGTTGCTTCAACAAAAGTAATGAAAAAATTTCTGACATGATTTTTACACGTTGGAATTCATTCTGGTGTAAAACACATAGCTGTGAGAGGTCTGTTGTAGCAAGCAAAATCAAATAGTTTTCATATCCTTTTGGAGCTTAATAATTTAATTCTTTCGTCCAGTAGAAAACAGAAATATTTCTCTTTTTGTTTATTACATAACATAAAACAAAAACTGTATTCGAAATTTATGAAATCACAGAAAATTATACGTTTTCAAGCTTTTTTGTTAAGAAATATATCTTGAATATCAGCAAATAAGAAGCGGATCGACACCTCTCGTGGAGTACCTGAAGGCAGCATTTGTCACTGCTGAGATCATCCGCTAAGTAGCACGCATGCGCAGTTGGCGGAGGTCTGGGAGTGTCTGAGCTGCTCGTTGGACGTGAATCCCACCCGCAGTAAGTGAACCCAGGAGCATCTGCATGAACAATGAACCGGCTGACTGGGGAGGAGATGATTTGAAACGGACATGAACGGGACGTTAGAGGAGGGTCGAGGCGATGGGAATCCACACCAGCAGTGATTTTTCACGAGATTTCCGTGGGGTGAATGACCTCTAACGGTATAAGGAATTAGTAATTTGTAATACTTTGTTGTCTGGAGAGCCAATCCTCTTAACAGACTGATAGCATTACATTGGCGTCTGCGCTTTTTAATGAACTTTCACCGTTTCCGTCATTAATTCAGCTGCATATCTGAAGGTTTAATCACCGCAGTGTCTATTTATGTATCTTCAATAATGTGTGGTTACTGAGTGGCCTGCTAGATCTAACCAAAGTGCTAAATAGTTACAGAAAACTAATTATCTATTTATAACATATGATTTCTATTTGTTTTTCTTGAATCATATGTGCAGCATTAGCTATTTCAAATACAGAAGTGAATCTGAATAAAAGATTTTCAGCTCTATTTCAAGCACACCACAGCTTTGACTTTTGTTTTTGAGACATTACTGGCACAATAAGCTGCTGGGTGTCATGAGGTGGCCATCTGTTGTGGGATCCTGCTCAAACCTGCGAGCAGATTAACCAGTGAGAGGTCCAAGGCATCAGCAGGCTGGACGTTTGTGTGCCTGGAGGAGGAGGAGGAGGAGGAGAAGAAGAAGAAGGGATGCTGAGAGCCACTGTGGGCTGTGTGCAGGAGAGAGATGAGGAGCAGGAGGATGAAGGTGAAGAAGAACTGAGGGATGGAGGAGTGCCTTTCTATGTCAATAGAGGAGGCCTACCGGTGGATGAGGAGACATGGGAGAGGATGTGGCGCCATGTGGCTCGAATTCACCCCAATGGTGAGGCTTTGGGGAAGGAGATCCGAGGTGCCACTGACCTTCCCAAGGTAAACATGCTGGATATGTAAAAATGCAACTGACATTTACACCATGCATCTAAACCTAACAGCCAGCTGAGATACTATTAACACCCATGTGTTGTGGGAAGTTTTATCACAGTGTAACTATGCAATCACACATGACTGCTAGAGAGCCACACTCTACTAATTCATCTTTAAAAAGCTGTCTTTGCCTGTTATTTTTTTTTCTGCAGCAAAATATAAAGATCTCTTTGTACATCCTGGCTGGTAGTATGTATCATTTGCATGCTGCAGATGTTCAGGGGAATAGGCCTTTTCATTCATTCCTCTCAAGATTGGTTAAAGAGCTACTGAAACAAGACAAGACTACACATTTTGACTTCAGTGAATATTGGGATTGTTTAATGCAGCTGTTTGGATGCCCTTTCCCACAGATTCCAATACCGAGTGTGCCTACATACCAACCTACCACCACTGTCCCACAGCGTCTGGAAGCCATACAGAAATACATCAGGGAATTGCAGTATCCTTTGACAGAGTTGGTAGATTTTTGGCGGGTTACCACCATAGTAGACTGAGGTTTGTTATGATATGCATAAGATTTTTGAGATAGATTGTACACACTAATCTTAGCACTTAAATAGATTAAAACAGAATGAAAATAAAAAAGAATAATGCTTACAAGAATATTTTATTAATCCCACTGACCCATTGTTTTAACACACTTTGATAAATATGGGGCAAACGTGAGAAAGTAGGCCACTGTCTCAATATTCTATATTAAGCTTGATTTTCAGTCAGAGCAGAGATTCATCCATAATTAACCAACAACCTATGAATATCACAAAGCGCTCTAAGTGATTGTGTCTTCTTACTGCTGGCTTGGGGTAGAGTTTTCTCTCAAAGCAGAGTCACGATGCCCTCTCATTATATGACCTTAACTGTTACCCATAGGTACAATCACACAGGGACACAGTTTTTTGAAATCAAGAAGAGCCGGCCACTCACTGCGTAAGAACATTCCTCCCATAGATTTATAGAAGTGTATGCCATGAGATGTCAGTGTGTTTGCTCATTTGTAGTCTTTGCTGCTAATGCCTGGTGTGTGTGGAGCAGATGCATTTTGGGTTTAGTCCCAGGGCTTGTTGAAAAAAAAACACAGCAAGCAGCAGGGGCCTGGTTTTCCAGAGCTGGCTTTATTAGATTTATTAGCACCATGTTTTTCTCTTCATGTAAAATGTTGTTGTTTGAAAGAAGAAAATCAATAACAGCAGTTCTATATGGGCAGTAAAAGTGTGTTTGTTATGTCAAATTCTGCGCAGGTTGATGGACATCGCTAAAGAGATGACACGAGAGGCTCTGCCAATCAAATGCCTGGAAGCGGTGATCCTGGGGATGTATCCTTACCAGAACAGATCATTGTTACCTCACATGACACTTGTTTATTGTTACTACTTTAAATGAGAGGAGCACCTTAGTCTGTGACTGGTTTGACCGTTAAACAGTTAAATGTAGTGTATCTTAGTGCATGATATAGTATAGTATATCGAAGCACATTATTTCACCCTTAGGGTTAGGGTCATATTGTGATGTGTCATATAAACTTATTTTGTAGGTGTTATTCTGCTTTTTAAATATTTTGAAAACAGATGTTAAATTCAAATATTGTAAGTCTCAGACTGCAAGGTTTATGTGTGTTTAAGTAATCCCCAGATTGGACTACAGGGTGTTCTGAATTCAAAAAGTCACATAAGAACTCAGCAAGATTAATATGAGATTTACCAATTAATGATGTTACCACACAGTGATTGTCCATAAAAGGACAAATTTGTCATTTTATAAAAAGAAACACAACTTTGTTGAACGGCAACAGTGAAGGAGGCTTCAGAATGCTGAGTTCTGGAATGCTGGGAGGCATTAAAGGGACAGTAGTGTAAATGAAGCACCTCAGACAAAGGCTTAAATAAGTTTTGTGAAAGACAGCAGCTTTAAAAAGGTTCAGAATTTGTTAAACTGTAAATTATGTAGTGCTGTTAAGAAGTTACAGAAAGACAATTTAAAGCTGAAAAGTAAGCATAATACTCCATCTTCATAGATGTTCTAATACCATAGACTTCCCTCCCTGTATCATTGCTGTTACCTAGACTTTGCTACTGGCCTCTCGGATTTCCAAACACCATAAAAGTATTGATGGAAAACCATCAATTACTGAGAACTGGCTTGTTTTTACTAACATCATACCGATTACTGGCACCACACCGTTCTTTTTTGTTTCCAAAGCTTAACTGCACTAAACCTATCGATTTTTAGGGCTGATGGGCAGTAGTTTGGATAGATGCATCAACCAATGCTGGTATCAAGACATCTCCAGCTTTGATATCTCCACTTTGCATTGTTGTATGTTCATTGTTTTTCATGTACCTGCTGGTGATGTCTGTTAACAGACTTTACTTGTCTCTTTAAACTTTGCTAGAACATCTTTAGAGTCACAAATCAAACACCACTTTCTTTGACCTTCATTCACTAGTTACCTGACCAACAGCATGCCCGGAGTGGAGCGCTTCCCCCTCAGCTTTCAGTCTCACTTCTCAGGGAATCACTTTCATCACATCGTGCTGGGAGTCCACAGCGGGGGACGCTTTGGGGCGCTGGGCATCAGCCGAAGGGAGGACCTCATGTTCAAGCCCCTTGAGTTTAGGACACTGATGGACTTGGTGCAGGAGTTCGAAGGAGCCTACAGGGGCTACTGGCACACACTAAGGAAGGTCAGAATCGGCCAGTATGTGTCTCATGATCCTCACAGTGTGGAGCAGATTGAATGGAAACACTCGATACTTGACGTTGACAAGCTGACCAAGGAGGAGCTGCGGAAGGAGCTGGAGAGGCACACTCGAGACATGAGGCTGAAGGTACTACTCCAACACTATATTTCCTTTTTTTATTCTCACTTCAAGCATCATTTTGCATCAAGTATAAGCTGACAGAGATATTGCAGGATGAAAGACAATGAGGATTTATATAATTTGTCCTCAGCAGAGCAGCTGCAGCCCTTCCTGGTTATTACATTTCTTTGACGTGCTGTCTCTTCATGCACAGTGACACTGAGTTGACCCGCTGTTTGAGGAGTGATGTCTCTCAAACGACGCTTTCTCATCACCTCTCATGCTATAATGATGAAGGCAGCCTTGGTGCTGAGCTCTGTGTGTAATAAAACTAATGTGATGGCTTCACTCTGTGCTGCTTGTGCTTCATGCATGGCTGGCTCAGTCCATCATTAGCTGATCTTTTACAGCCAGCGCTCTGCAGAAAAAAGCTGCATGGCGAGGACACAAGACACAGACTGCTCATCCTTAAATGAAATTTTTGATCAGATATTGTGTTATCTGTTTTTGCAGATCGGGAAGCCTGCGCCACCCTCTCCCACCAAAGACAGAAGAAACAGCATGGGCTCACCCCTGCGAGGACAGAACAGCCCTATACGCCGGATCAGCCGCGTTGAGAGACGGTATGATTAATCATGTGTTCAATGATAATTTTATCCATCACTAAAAATACAGATTATGTTGCCACTGTGGTGAAATGTTTTTAGCGACTGGAAAATCTTTGGTTCAGTGATGCGTCATGAGCTGAAATAGTCATATTTTCCCCGTCATGTGAATAAAACTCATTGTCTCATCTTTTTGGGGGATTTTTTTATTGCAGTCCCTCTGGCGAGAAGAAGGTTCTGGAGCAAAAGCCGTCCACTGACTTGAATGGATACCAGATTCGAGTCTAAGGAAGAAGAACTCCAGTGTTATTAAGTGAAAAGGTACCAAAACCAACTTAGTGGAGCCATTAAATTACTCCGAGGCTTGAGTCTTTGTACAAACTGGTCTATTCACAGGATGCAATGTTGAATAGGTCACCAGCAAGTTTCCCTCTAAAAACAAATGCCTCATTTAGCGTCCCCATGTCTATGTTATTGAAGGCTTACTGGAGCACTTACTGTGGATGGTAATTGGTGCTGGCGAGGCTCCCAAATTATAAATAAAGGGGGACAAAAAGTGCAGCACTTTGTTAACATTTTGCTAAGTTTTTCCTAGAGAAATACAACGCTGGGCAAGACCACCGTGCTACCGGACATATCATAAGTTTCTGTGGTGTTTTTTAAGGTACAGCAAAAGCTTTTAATGCTCGTCTGCAATCTGTATTGTCGTACTGTAAGTGTGCAAATACTTGTGATGTAATTTTAAATCCACTTGGGCTCTGCTGGGCAGCAACTGCTTGTGTTGTGACTAGTTTGCAAACCACTACCCTTGTGCCTTGTTTGAAATTTCAGAACAAAGAGACTTGTTGTGGATCCAAACCCTTTACTATCATTGCATAACTCAACACTCTGCACTTCCAAAATACTGAACACTATTAGAATAAATTGAGAAAGACATTTTTGACCTTTCATATCCAGATGCTAGCATGTTTCCCTTGTTACCGGTCGAAAACTAGAATGAATATGGGATTTTCAATGCACATTATATCGCAGTTTATTAAAGAGTACGAAGGCGTCTGTTGAGTGTAAATTTTAGAGACAGGAGAACTCTTTACTCCCATTAAAATTATCAAGGTGATTTTTGGCAATCAAGCTGACTGAGCTCATGTGCATCTAATGTAGATGTAAAGTAATGGAAGTCAGTTTTTATGTACTGTATGACTGCTTTATATATACATTGTTTCTAGCTTTTCTTTGTAGCACCTTTATCCAATATTTCACTTGCCTTAAAAGGTATCCAATGACTGACTTCTGTTTTACGAGTAGAAATGTTTGTTTGCACCACTTTTATCTGCATTTTGTATTTTTTTATGGAGGATATTGTCATTTTATACTACCTTCAGTGTTCCAGTAGACCACTCAATAGTTACCACAAACTGTTTTGGATTTATTGCCACAGAATACACTTATATGCATTCAGTATTGTTGATGTCCACTTTGATTTTAGTGCTCTATAACACAATTGTTTTGTACCAAAAGACAGCGGATTTACATAATCACAATAAAAGCTCACTCTGATTGTGGCAACACCATTCTGCTCTCTTTCATTTTTATGTATTTCTCTATGTGCGAATCCTAAATGACACTAATTTAATGCTCAGTCAATATGTATTTCTTAATCAAGTTTCAGGCAGGCGAGGCGAGAGATGGTGCCAGTTTTCTGTCAAGCAATGGTTTAAAACTAAGCTCTGAGCACACGGTGTCCTCAGCCGTGGAGCAGCTTTTGGCACACAGGCAAGTGATGATATCTTTGCACTCCTTGTTAAGTTTACACAAAGGAAACTTAATACAAACATCACCATACAAGGGAAGCAAAATCCATGAAATGTATTTTAAAACCAAGTGTCAGATCAAATGGAACGACTTCAACATCTAGATCTCAAGATATCCACCAGACCTCAGCATTTTAAGTGCTTTAAAATAGTCAGGCCTTTTTATACTGTTGAGATGTTGCCAGTTTGTTGCATGCGTGACATCCCCCTCAATTTTGCAGCTAAATGGATAATGAACGTGGACTGGTGCTGCTCTAATCAACTAATAAGGCTTCATGGCTGTTGCATTCACTGGAAACCAACCCTCAAGGATCCATCCTCATGCATAGGTCAATATTCTACTACTAAATCGGCTGTCTGTGAAGTGGCACACTGGTATGCTATTGCAAAATCAATCAGGTGAGAGTATCTCCTTCAAATGATGCTTTATGAAGACAGAGGTCACCCTTTACAGTAATGTTACTAAGAAACAGAAACCAAAAACATCATGACCTACTTCCAGGAAAAACCCTACTGACTGAGTTCACCAAGTTGCATAAATTTAATGCTTCAAAGGAGGTAAGAGCATACAAAAACCGATATCAAACTTTTGAATTGTTCACAGTAGGTCATGGTACTGGAGTTTCAAAGTGACAGGATTTAAAAGCGGAAGATCTACTGATGGACATCATCCTGGCGTATTTTTTAAAGTCTACATATAACAGCTCTATAAGCTCTCTTACGGAGCTCTATCACGCATCAACACTCGATTATCTAAATTGACTATTCATGCATCAACCAGACACACACACCCACATACAAGCACACATCTTGACCCTGACTAAGTGAGTGCTGCAGTGTGGTTGGCAGGGAGGGGCAGAGCCAACATTCAGGTCACAGTCTGAGTGCTCGACCAGGCAGGATACACAGACAGAGAGCCAGACAGCCAGTTGAGGATGTGATATATAATAAATGCGGGACAGAGCAACAAATTCTCATGGCAAGCACACTTTGTTCTTTAGAGAGTGAAAAGCCAGCAGAGCCACAGAGTGATGTAAAACATTTATTCTTGTTTTGACAGTCAGAAAAAAAACAGAAGCCACTCATCATCAGAGAGCAACACTTTTCATCATTTGTTAAAATAAAATCTTGATATGTCAAACTTGTCATCTAGATCCAACCGAACAGGCAGGTGTATTATAACACCATTATCAAAACAGCAATGACAAACTTCTGTTTTTTAATGAACAAATAGAACAAAATTTAAACAATTATTCAGTCATAGTCCAGCATTAACTTGCTCATAAAAAACGGGAGGAACAAGACTACATATTGGCATTTTTTACTTCTCTTGGCTTTCTTTTTCTTAACAAAAACATTAACTTATGTACAGCTACAAACCTTTGAGGACCTCAACTTAAAGCAGACTAAATTTGAACCAAAACCTGCATAAAGGCATTGTTTTAAAATACCACCCTGTCTTTGTCCATCATGCTGAATCCAGTTCTAATTGGAATTTGGCAATGAGACTGAGATGGTCAGAGGGGAACATGTGATTGGGGAGACCCATCATTGACCACAAAACATCCTCTGATGGAAGAGTGAGAGATCCTTTGAGCACCAAACCCTCAGCTGCTGTTTCACCCCCAGCTGTGGAAGAAAAGAAATGTATCACACAATAGCTGAAACACTGTCCTTTGTGGCGTGTGCTCCTACCTGTTTGATCGGAGGTCACACGTCTCGGCGTGTAGAAAATGTAGTCGACGGTAGCTGCTCCTTCAGAGTGCAGGGTTGTTACTTCTGGATTTCCAGAGCCTGGGAGCATGTGTTTGTAGACCGACTCCAGGTCCAGATGATGACTGAGGGTGTGTCTGAATCTATGACAAAAAATAAATACAAGACCTAAATTTCACCTTAATGAAGGAAAGCTTTTGTTTTACCATTTCATGCATGTTTTTGTTGTTTGCTAATAACACACGTCTTTCAGGTGACATGCCCAATCATTTACTGAGATGAACAGAAATGTCTCAGTATTCAAAACAGATTACAAGGTAATCTGCAGCAACAACACGGAACTGGCACTGCACTGAATGTGAAACTCTCATTGGAATACTGTGTGTATAAAGGCAACATGACAAAGCGAAGGCAAACTGACCTTTTAATGTAAGGCAGTCTCCTTGACACATCTGTGAATGACAAGAAATGCTCTGTTTTTTTAAATATTACAATTAAAAAATAAGCCAAAAAATGTCAGAAAATCAGCACCTGATGTTGTGATTTGGTAATGTCAGATTTTACCTGGTGTGTTGTCAGTCACACCCGGGATGAGCTCCAAGTCCGGGGGACGCACACGTGCAGCTGTACAGAAGCGCAGCTGCAGCAGGAAGTCGTGGCTGTACTGATGTTTTCCTACACACAATCAAACATGCACAAATAAGTCGAGTGAGAGAACAAGTTTAAAAAAAGAATCAAGGTTACAAAAATAACAGCAGACACAAAGTAGTCTGTTTCTCCAAACATTGACCTGGTTCCTGGTCCTTAAATATCTTCTTAACATTCGAGTACTGGCAGCTGTCAGTGATTTCCAGACTGCTGGGCCACAGTGGAGCTTCTAGTTTGTGATAATGGACTTTATATGAGTGGTCTTCCTGACCTGAAATCTGGAGAACATAAACATGGTTACTGGGGTTATTTATGCAAGTATCGTATTCTTAAAGAAAATCATTGACAGTCTTGCGAGAGCGCCTGATATTTCCCCTTTTTCTCTTATATCCTCACCGTCCAGGCTGGTAGACCCTGAAAGTAGAGCTCCCCAGTGGTGATCAGCTGATACAGAGGCCTGTAGGGGAGGGAGTTGAAGTCTCCACACAATATAATGTTACACTGTTCGTCTTTGACCTTGCAGGACTTAACCACACTGTCGATTTCTGCCAGTAAGATGGCTAGCTGAGCCAGCTTCACATCACCCCTCCTTGGGTTAAAGAGCAGGTGAGTATTGGCCACACAGAGGGGTTGGCCCTTTGCCTTGATCTCTGACCCCTTAGTGACCACGGGCTGAAGCAACAAAACGATGCCCACATTGTGCCGGTCCAGCAGCTCTGTCTCAGGCCTGAAGAACTCCAGCAGGGCGACTGAAAGCTCAGAGAAGCGACTGGAGCGATAGCAAGTAGCACAACCGTCTGTCTTGTTCCCTGTGCGCCGTTTGTACACACAGGTGAAGCCTAAAGCAAAAACATAAGCACAGCACAGTAAATTTTTGTTATAATAAATACAATAATCATGTTTGTCCACTGTTTATCCTCATATGACCTACCCATCTGAGACAGGGCCGGATAAAGTTGTCCGTGGTAGTGGTTCTCTTGAACCTCTTGAAGACACAAGATCTACACCCAGAGAGAAACAAAAATAAAAACTCTCCTGATAACTTCAAAATAAATAAACATATCTTTTATTTTAAATCAGCTGATGCTTGACTTACATCTGGGGCCCATTTCAGTATTTCCTCAAGAAGAACCCTGCAGCGGTAGCTCCAGTCAAGCACCTCCAGAGGGCAGTGTATGTACAGCTCCTGATTAGCCTCAAGTAGATCCTGAGCAAGGATGTTGTAGGACATAACAGTGAAGTCCATTGTGGTCTTTTTATATGGGAGGAATTTGGGGGTGGGTCCTGCAGCAGAGGCACTCTCATCCGCCTCCTCCCACACTCTCCACATTACTGAGTAAAAAACAAACACATAACAGTTTGGATAAATTTCATTACAGTGGAAAACTTGAAGATGAAAAGGCCAAAAATGAAACTTCCAGGAAAGGGAGAAGTTGAATTCTCACCTTCAAAGGCCTCTTCCTTGCTCTCTTCAGACAGTACAGTCAGCTGATCTTTTCTTATATCAAGCCCAGTATCACATTCCTTCTCTGGCATTGGTTCCTTCAGCCTTTCTTTCTTTTCTGCTTCCATCTCACTACTTGAGCTGAGCCACAGGTCCAGCAGGGTCGTGCAGGACTGGTTGAACTTTCTGGTTGTGACAGCACCACCATCCAACACTTCCCTGCCATCCGCCTGTGCAGGAGGGAGACCCTTTTTTGAGGCCTCTGCAAAACAATAAGAATAAGAAGAACTTTATTAATCCCTGAAGGGATATTCAATTGTCTGTTGTCTCACTTGATGTGTCTCTAAAAGTTATCTTCTATTTACACAAGAGTTATAAAGTCTGGTGGCTGTGGGTACAAAAGATCCTCTGAATCTTTCTGTCCTGCAGCGAAGAGAGAGGAGCCGTCCACCACCAATGGCCCTTTGGTCCATCAAGGTGTTGTGATATATTAACATATTATATCGATATTAACTTTAGAAAACAACGGGGCTTTCATGGTGAGCAGAAACACATTCAGCTCTGTAGTTTGCATCATTTTCACTGCTAAAGCTACGAAAACTACAATTGGGTGAATAGACTCTTCGGTTAGAAAAAAACTACACAGCACACAATTCCTACGTGGTGACGTCGTTTGGCGCCATAGAGAGTGTCCTGAAAAAGTGTGCTAAATAAATCCCAACAGGTGTTCGTAAACACGTTTCCAAGAGCTAACGTCGGCTAACTTGCTGTAAAAGTTGGCCCACAAGAGTCTGTATGTAGAATTATTTGACAGTCCATGCTGGGAAACCTGACAAAAGCGTGTCTCCTCCTCAGTACTCTATAGAAATATCCGTTAATTAGCCAGCCCCTCGCTGACGTATGACTAATGTCAACACAAACCGCGCGGTCAGCAGCAGCCTAAACACACCGTTAGCTTATTGAGGCTGCACTGCATGAAGCAAAGTCATAGTTTTGACACCTTTGAAAAACTTTTACCTGATCGAAAAGTCAGAAAACGCGACAAGGGGTAGAGCACATGAAATAACAGACTGGCAATCATGGTCCTGCATTGAAACCTGCGCATGCGCACTCGGTGTACGGGAGTGTGAAAGGTCATTTTCCCCAAAAATGTCCTGTGAGTGTGTTAGTTTCTCTTGTGGATATTGTTTTTCAGTTTTGCTTTATTTGTATTTACGAAATATTGTCAGCCCTGGAATGACGAGGAATGAAAATGTGCCAAAAAAAATCCTAAATATGCTATTTTTCCTCGTCATTTTTACATACCAGAATTTATACCTTGTTTATTGTATAACTTGAAGTTGAAATGACAAAAAAAGAAAAAAAAAACTCATGTTGTAACTATGGTGAAGCATGAATTATTCATTTCACCACACACGACATACTACCTGAAGAGTAGAGTTACCTGCTCGACAGCCCAGGCTCATTTCATTTCACAGTGTGAGCAAACAGGCCTTCAATAAACACCCTGAGTTTCTAAAAATGGTTCAAATAGCACATAGGATCTAAAAGGAGAAAGCAATGTCAACACTGTCATTTGAGTTCCTCTGTTTAAAAGATGATGAGTGTCCTTCTACAGATGAAACTCAGGACACAGAAGATGAGACAGACTTGGAGTCAGATGGTAAGTACATCGAATTCACTCCAGGAGTCATTCTTGAAGTTCTGTGAGAAAAGGAAATATGTCTGCGCTCACAGTTTAAAACTATGACTTATTTAGGTGCAAATATGTGTGATTTGATAAATTATTGCATTTATTTTTTGATTTAACTGAGAAAAGCTGGTAAAATGCCACGTACACTATCTGATTTACCAACTTTCAGATGTAGAGGAAGGCCGAACTGAGATGTCAATATCTGAAGTATACCTCCAGGCCTGCAAGCTAGTGAGTGTGGTGCCAGTCTCCTTCTTCATACGAAACATCAATTCTCAAACCATGACCCTCAGCCACCATGGACTGGGACCTTTGGGGTGCAAAGCAATCGCTATTGCTTTAGTGGTACGTTTAAGAGTGTAACCACAATTATTTTTTAAAGAAAACTCCTAATCTTATTTGTATTTATTAGAGTGACATGAACATCAACACTCTGGAACTGGCAGACACTCACATTGAGGCTGAGGGAGCCAAATACCTTGTGGAGATGCTAAGAGCTAATTTCACCATTCAGCACCTGGTATGTCATGCTGCTTATTCACCACTAGAGAGCAGAAGTGCTTTTCAAGTAACATTTTGTTTGACTATTGCTGTGGAGTAACAAAATATTCTTTCCTTTGTTTTCTCTCAGGATTTATCCAACAACAATCTGTTGTCTGCAGGTGCAGAATATGTTGCTAAAATGCTGCTGGACAACATTTCACTGAAGTCACTGAAACTTTCAGGTAATGTGCAAATTAACAGCATTTTATTGTGACTGCAGGGATATAAGCTTGACAGTGAATCTCTACCACTTCATGAGGCTTTTCAAGGACAAACCTATCACCCAAGATCAGTAATTTCACAACAAGAGAAATATGTTTATTATTTCAAGTCATCATTAAACTTGTGTTGATTATCTAACATTTTGTTTCAACAGGAAATGGATTTACTGATGATGATGCTAAATATTTTGCAGATGCCTTATCAGTAAGCATGAACCCTATATGATAATTACATGTCATTTTTTGTTTAGGCAATGGTGTGTTATTTTTATTATTATGGTTTGTTTGTTTTGTCTTCAAAAATTAGACTAATGCAAAAATAAAGGAGCTAGACCTGAGCCATAATGCATTTTGTGGAAAAGGAGGGGAACATTTGGGACTGCTGCTTGGTAAAATTCCTTTTTATGAATTATCTTATTCACTTAACCAAGTACATGAGCAAAGAAATTAGCGTAATATCAGGTCTCTTTTATATTTATTGTTACTCATTTTTTCAGCAAACAATGAGGGTCTTGAGTTGCTGGATTTGAGCTGGAATCATCTCAGGATGAAAGGAGCTGTGGCCCTGTCTGCAGGACTGAAGGTGGGACTGCATGAGAAAAATGTTTGATCCCTGATTTGGCATGCAAATCTGATCTCATGCATCATATTTAGGTCAACAGGACGTTAAAACATCTCGACTTATCCTGGAATGGTTTTGGGAATGAGGGTGCTCTGGCTATGGGAGAAGCCCTAAAATTCAACAACACGCTCGTGCACCTCAATCTCAACAACAACCGGCTCACTAACGAGGGTGTCGGCATGCTTTGCAGGGGTCTGGAGTTCAATGACACGCTCAGGGTCCTGCTGGTAGGTGGGACACTTTTTTCTTTTTCTAATTCTTATCCATCATCAGTATTAAATCTCATTGACTGTTTTCTATCCTTGCATTGTGCAGCTTGCTTACAATTCTCTGACTGTAGAGGGAGCTCTGGCTCTGGTAAATGTGGTGAAGAACACACGTAAAACTGCCTTGGAGGAGATCAACATATGTGTGAGTTACTGTGGTGTTGTCTCACTGATTTTTTAAATCACGCCTCAAATAATTATCCATTTACAAAGAAATATAAGAACTGGAGATGCATTAAATGTTGTGAGCCACTTGGTTACGATATTTTCACCTTTTTACCCTGCAGAACGTGCTGGTCAATGAGACTTTTGTGCATCTGCTGGAGATGACATGTCAGGAGCATCCCAGCCTTGATGTACAGTATGGAGGAGTTGGAGGGTCCATCGCCAAGAAACCACCAAAACGTGTTGATCCAATGAAAGTCATACAGGTCAAACTGACTACCCAAGTTGCCTTTAAAAAAATAAATTCTGACTTTAAAGCCCATATAAGGAGCTTTTGGTTTCCACGCCCCCTGTGGACAAAGCAGTCTTTGCTTGTCTTGTTCCTTAAGTTCTTTGGTTGTGTCACTTAAGAAAAACAATGTAATCTTGTGACTTTTAGCGGCTGAATGCATCATTTAGTGTGAATATTAGGTTTCAATCAAGTAAAAACTGGGCTGTTCTTTCAACTGCTCCACTGACATCATGCCTTTGCACTAGTTTTAGGCATTAAAAAATCTACAGTATAAAAATAGTCAGTGTTGATGCCGTTCACTTTTGTACATTGAGGCAGCATCATGAATCTCAGTTTATTTCACAAATGTCAGAAAATTCCCAACAGGAGTTTGAAATTATTCTGATAAAGAAAAAAGTTACTCTGGCACTAGTTTGTTTAAAAGCAGTTAACCAGTGTGTAAGTCAAAGGAATGACCTGATACTGTATCTCAATAAGCCCCTAAAACTAAACTAGTGTCATGTGATAACTAAAATGCTATTCTTGAGGTAGTAGTGAGTGCACTGTTTATCCAAGCTGGTAAAAAGCAGCAATCATATTTTTCACTAATACTTAAGCCTTGCACTGGTGTGTCTACCTTTAATAATCTTAACAGATAAAAAAAATTAAATGCATTATAACCATAATACTCAAACTCCATCATTTAAATGTGACGTAAAGGGACCTCGTATTTATTTAGGTTTGTTTCATAAATAGTTTTCTCATGTACATTTTTTGAAACCGTCAGATCTTACTTGGTCAGGTCCTGTTGTCTGTAAGTTCTTTCAAATGTCTTTTCCCAATGTTTCCAAAGGATTATTTAGACCAGCGCAAGCTTCGTCTGTGGGATTTCTTCCGAAACATTGACAAAGATGGCACCATGCGCGTCCCTACAGCTGACTTCAGGAAGGCAGTGCAGGTTTTAGAGCCTCAGTTTTATTGATCTGTGTAAAGTCATTCATATGTTTTCACACATATTTTCTGCTACCTAATGCTGGTTAGCTCTAAGCTCCTTTTTTTCTTCTTTTCTTTAAAGCAATCGAGTATTCCTTTGGATCGTTACCAAATTGAGGAGCTGATTCAGAGGCTTGATCGCGACAGGACAGGGATTGTAGACTACAGGTGAGCGTGTTTGCTCTTACTCCCAGAAGGACTTCTATGTTGCTTTACTCTGATATTTTATCAGTTTTATTGTTTCTAAACATTGATCAGTGGTGCTGCTGTGAATTTGTACAGCCACTCAGTGTATTACAGCTTGAATGATGCCAAAGTTTGACCATATTTGTTAAGCTGAATGATGGGAATTTGTCAAGATTTTGACCTTGAATGACACCTGTCTTCCAAGGCAGTCCCAAGACGCTGATATGGTTTTATGATCTTTGTGTGCAGGGGACTGGCAGACACACGGAAACAAATGATGAGGGATCACCGCCGCCAACTGAGAAAGGTTGAGTCCCGTCAGAAGAAAGAGAAGCAGAAGAGTGACCGTATCCTCAAGACCTTCCAGAGTGCTGTGGAGGCTGTGACACCCCGCAGCTCCATGGTCATGTCTCCTGGAGGTGGCAAAGAGGATTCAAGCGGTCCACAGCAGTTTTCCGCCACCCCACTCAGTTCTTGGCACCACATCGTCATGTCCAACAGCAGCCGCTATTCAGTCACCAATCTAAGCAATGAGCACATCCACCTGCCAATGTTAGGAGGCGCTACACCTTACCGTCCAACCAGTTCCCCAGCCATGAGATCCTATTCCCAACCAAACCTGGTGGATGAGTCACATCACTCTGCTCCAGGCAAGTCCATCTCTGCCCAGGGTGTGCACTCCGATCCAGAGATGAGCCACAGCAAGCTGACTCCCACTGCCAACAACCTGACCAGGTCCAGACCTGCTCTCAATGCCAAGCAGCCTGTGGTCAAACCTAAAACCAAGAAAGTAAAGAAAAAGAAAATGATGAAACGTGTGAATAAAGGTTCAAAGTATACAACAAAAACTGTGAAGTGATGGTCAGAAAGTGTACAACTCTAAACTATGTTGATATAAGTCTTTGTGGATGCAGATTTGGCAGCTCCTGTGAAGTGGGAAGATTGATGCATTTGCTGATCATGTCCTGTACACACATCAGGAATGTTTTCTAACAAGGAAATAATCTTTTTAATCTAAATTGTTTTGAGTGCAAGGAACAATGAGTCATTAGAGTAGAACGATTTTGGAAGCTGTAATCAGAAATGGAAACAAATTGAAATAATAAATCTTCTCTCTGCAGTTTTGTTTGCTTATGTGGGTCACACAGAGGCATCAGAATTAATTTTTTTAATAATATTTTAACAGACCACCCCCCCCACAGGAACTTTCTTTGTTTTTAAACTTGTACAACCGGGATCAGTTTTGAGCTTTTAATTAATTTAACATTTATATTTCAGACGACTCCTTTATACTGATGACACTGCATTGCACTATTCAAATTACTTTGTTGAGTATATTGTTGAGAACCCACATATTTTTGTCAGTGCTTTTCTGAATCAGTGTTATCCTCAAACTATTCCTGTGGCAAATACAGACTGGTATCTGGTAAGCTAAGGGTCATAAAGGTAAATACAGCATTTTTAAGTAAATAAGAAAACTTTTTTTTTTCTTTTCTTTTTCTTTGCACTACCTTGATTAAATAAAAATGAGTTGAGTGTAAAATTGATCAAAGCAGGGGGTAACGGTATGTTTTGAACTGTTTCTAAATTAAAATATAAATTAAAACTCTGGATACGGTCTCATTTTTATACATTTGTGGTTGCACTTTCACATAGCAGTCGAGAGGATCAGTAATACTGTCTATTCAATGGGCACCTCGAACACTACCATTTGCAATTTCCTCTACTTTTACAAGGGACTTCAACTAAATGAACTAACAGTTATACTCATATAGTCCATGGTAAACAAGATAAGCCATCTACAGAGAGAAAACACTTGACAACACCTGGGAACCCCATCAGGTGTAGACCCATCCATTTGTTTTTCTTGGAGCTCTGCTTCACCCCTTATCACTAATTATTCCTTAAGACATTTATTGTAGGATTTGTTTGCTGAAGATAACATCATTATGTCTGCTGTCTTGACCAACAATGCTGTGAGGTAGCACAGGTGCTGCAAAATCCTAAAACTGGCTATATAAGCCCTGAGGATCAAGCTGTTTCATTCATAACAACTCTGACTGCACCAGAATGATCGGTACTCTGTATTTCTTAGCGCTGCTGAGCTTCACCACAGCCTGGGGCGTAAGTATGGCACACAAAGAAAAGACTAATTTTACTTTGAGGATTTTCCCAACTTCAAAGTTATGTTAATATTCTATATGTAAATATGACTTTTCCAGCGCGTGGGGCTGTGGAGTGAGGGCAGGAATGAGACGGGAAGCGGAGGAGGAGTTAGGTGCACCTGTGATGCCTTCTTGCCCAGCTCTACCTTTCCTCTTAAAGACCTGGTAGCAGTGGAGCAGACCGCTGGTGAGATCTGGCACAAACTGGAGCTGGAGATGGGAAAGGTATTCAGTCAGATTTGAGGCATGTTTAATGGATGTCTGTAATTTACCTGCACAAAAAGATTGTAAAATGTCTCAAAATTCTTCAACTGATTTAATTCCAGATTGAAGACTATGAGTCCAAGATTACGTCATATGCAGAAAAGATTGTAAAGTTGACAACTGAAATTGAAAAAATTGAGAAGAACCCAGATGACTACAACGACACAGATATAGGGGATGTAAAGGTGGAGATCAAACAGGTGGAGGCTCTGATCAAAGAGCTGCAGCTCTCCTTGAGCAGCTCCACAGATGTCTTTGAGTCCCTGCAAGTCGAGGTAAGTCCTGTTAGCATCAGTCATTTTATCAGGAAACACTGAGCCAACCCACTGCTGAAGCATGTATTTCCTATCAGGTAACAGAAATGGTGAATACTCTGAACAAGCTGGAGAAGACCTACGACAAGAATCTGGTTCTGGCAACCAGGCGAGAGTACATTAAGGTGCAGCTGCAGCTGGAAGAGTGTGAGAGACGTCACCAAGAGCTTTTCTACCCTAACATCGGTAAGCTCTTTCAAAATATGATCCATATTCAAATCTAATCCCTGACTGACATACAACCGTTTTCTTCTTTCTCGACAGGCTCTTGTGCACATACAGGCATCAGCAGGATTGGTAAACCCATTGTTAGCCATATCAATGCCCATCTCACCACTAGTAGGAGTTTCGGAGGGTGGGGTAAAGATTCAAAGCCCATTCCTGATAGAGAATCTATGTACTGGTTCTCGAGCTACACCAGTCCCTATATTGGTGACATTCATCTCTACTCCAACTATAAAAACCTCATTTTGAGAAACCACTTCCAGCACCACAACTTACACAACAGCTATAAAGGGAATGGGAATAATTACATTGTCCGTGACAACACTCTGTATTATCAGTTAAGTAGTCCGTTTGGGTTGGGGAAGTTGAATTTTACCACCATGTCATATGCATCCAGGGTGATACCAGGTGCAAGCCCTCATTTCTCTTACACCAACTCTCCCAGTCAGAACTTTGACTTTGCAGCTGATGAAACCGGCCTCTGGGTGACCTATGCTTCAGAGGCGTCTGGTGGCCGCATGATCATCACTAAAATAGACGAGCCGTCTTTTGGGATTGTGGAAGAATGGACAACTAGTGTTTATAAACCAGGAGTGAGCAATGCCTTCATGGTGTGTGGCGTCCTCTATGTGGTCAGAACAGTTGATACCGACACTGACGAGATCTTTTACAAGTTTGACACCAAAACCAAACAAGAGAGCTACGTCAGCATTCCCTTTGAGAGGTTCCAGGATAAGTACTCCAACTTGGACTACAACCCCACTGACCAGAAGCTCTACATGTACAACGATGGCTACTATGTCAGCTACCATCTGTGGTTTAACCACACAGATAGCGCTACAGTGGAGCCACCCCTTCTCCTGAACACATCTGTTCAATAAAACCATGATTTTATCTTGTTAATTCACTTCTTTCTGCCTGTATTTCCTCATTTCTTTTTCCTCATCTTCTGAATGACAAATAAATCATCTTCAGCATTACAAAACATGAGTTGTAAATCTTTGTGAAAGTGCAAATGAACATAAAACAAGTTGTTTTCCAATGACTGGACATGAGAGTATAGCGACTGACATTCACTAGAAACTAACCCACAAAGTTTAGATTTTTACACCACTTTAAAGTGCAGATATGGATGGATTGTAGTTACATTTTATTTAAGGTCATAGTGTCAACACTCAGCAGGGAAAAGTTTTATCAGTAGATTCTTTTTGTTAAACACCTCCATTTATTCTGGCTCAGACTTACGTAGTTCTAATGTAATTATTAGAGCATGCCTCAGAATCTCTCCCATAAGCGAACATTAGCCTTCAACAGTGACATAACATCCGTTTTTGGGAAATAAAAAATACTGAAAATACCCCTGTTTATATTTTTATATGTAATAGAATAGAAACCTACATCTCATACAAGGGAAAACATATGACAGAAGGACAGGGGACAAAACAACAGATTTCAAACCACCATAAACGATAAAACACTCAGGAAAGAGGAACTGTAAATACTCACATACAATATAGTCCTGACATCCTGTGAGTTACACAGAGCGACACAGCAAGGTACATTTTATGATTTAATACCACATGCAGCAGTGAAAGATACAGGTGCATGTGTCAGCGTGTTACACTTTCTGTACAAAGAAAGCAGAGTGGTCAGCCTTTCCACGGAGGAAGTATTAATACAGAATTGAAACAATCTAATACAGATCTTAGACACTGTTAATGTTAAAAAATGAACAAAGATAAATTCAGCTGCTTAATTTTGAAGTTCATGTGTGCTCATTGCCTTGTCATTGATTACTATCACATCTAGACATCACAAAGATATCAAACATGTCGGATAATTAGTAACCCCTTTGCTTCTGACACCATGCATGTACCTGACAACTGACTAAAAAAGTGTTAGGGCAGATGACCAATAACCTACTAAAATACAGATAACCTCAGCCTTTTAATTTTAACACATTGCATTTTGGTTATTTTGTGCTCATGAATTATCTTTAGACTGTCAAGGTTTAACAAAACTAAACTGGGGATATTATCTTATTTCAGTTAGTAAACCAGGCTGAGTGTCCTCTCTGAGTATGTCTTGTGTAGAAAGGTCAATTTATAATAAGTTGTACAATTAAACTTAATTACAAGCCCATCAAACAAGTAACTCAGTGAGCTTTTTGTTTTCCTTTTTTTTTTGCATATTGAAATCTTGTGTTTTTGTGACAATGCCAGTACATCTGATCTGTTGCAACTGTTTCTAGATAAGACTTAATTTAACTTTGAACAGTGTCCGATTGTAAATATGTTGACCTCTTTGCACCATATAACATGCCATTTAGCTAACAAACCATAAACATAGCAGGTAGCAACCAGGAATCACTACATCTGGCATTATTCTCATCCAAGCCTTATTTACTGGACAAACTTAAGCCGGTGGATTTGACTAAGATACCTCGGGTAAACAAGGATATTGTCATTAGCGAATAACTTTAGACTAACAAACCATGGGAAGAGTGAAGGTGTTTGTGATGAACTGATAAAATTCGTCTTTATAAATGCACCAACCAGGCAAAGCAGTGAGACAATCAAGAGGAAAACTGAAACAAGATGCTGCTGTTTCTCTTTCCGCTTCTTCTTCCAGTCTTCAGTCCTGCTTCAGCCTGGATTGTGAGTGACTTCACTTTCTTTTCAAACATGTAGGTGCTGCAGCTGTTTGTTACATTAACAGTGGGGTTTTCTTCTTAGCCAGTGGAGGACTGGGAGTCTGGCAATGTGACTGCATCACTGGGTGAGTCTGGTCAGTGCCTTTGTCATGTTTATTTGCCTGAGACCACCTTCCCCTCTGACCGGGTTCAGCATATGCAAGAAGTCAGCAAGGATCTGATCTTGGAGGTGGACATCCAAATAAAAAAGGTGCAGTGAGATCTATTCAGACCTAGACCTATTGAGTTTTTACAAGTGTTTATGTATCAAATCATCCAACTAACAAACACTTTTTCATACCGATTCTTTTTCTCTCTTTCAGATAGAGGGCTACGAGGGGAAGCTGGAGGTCTACTTAAAGGATCTGGCTGACCTGACTCTTAGAGTGGCCATGCTAGAGAGCAGTGCTGACAACTACATCAAACTGGACTTCGAGATGCTGAGGATTGAGCTCAGACAGTTTGAGGCTCTGGTCTCTCAACTCAAAGACTCTCTCAACTCTTCTTCACCCATGTTTGACAGCCTGTACACGGAGGTGAGGGTGACATTTTTTTGACATACTTCTAAACTCCTTCTTAATCTGAAACGAATGTATAGATTTGATCTTTGTATTTAATCCTAGATCCGCAACATGACTCTCATTGTGGACCAACTGGAGATTTACGACAAAAGCAACTTGCAATTGATCCGGTTTGAGTTTGCCAAGCTGCAGAAGAAGCTTGAGGAGTGCCAGCAGGAGCAGGACTACATCAAGCCAGATATAGGTAAATGGAGGATCTACAAAAAAATTGGTATTTTAAAAAACAGCAACTGCATTGTATCGCCTGCCAAAGTCAACTTTTTCCGCTCTTTTCAGGCAACTGCAATCACACAGGAATCCTGAGCATTAGCAAGCCAGTGGTGATCCAACTGAATCATCATTTGTCTGCAGGATATCACTATGGAGGCTGGGGAAAAGACTCTAAACCTCTTCGAGGCCATGAGTCGATGTACTTCTACGGTGGATACAGCAGCCCTCTTGTGTATGACTTTTATATGTATGACAACTACGACAAGCTGCTTCTGAGGTCTTACTTTAAACATTATCACATACCTAATGGGTGGCTAGGTGTTGGCAACAATTACATTATCCATCGTAACTCCATCTATTATCAGATCAATTCTCCCTTCAGTATGAGCAAAATAAATCTGACCGGCTCTACCACAGCTTACAGAGTGATCCCAAAGGCAAGCCAAAAGTTCTCCTACAGTTACTCAGAAAATCAGAACCTGGATTTTGCAGCTGATGAAACAGGATTGTGGGTAATGTATGCCTCTGACGAGAGCAAAGGTAGAATAGTCCTGGCTAAGATAGATGAGAAATCTTTTGGTATTGAGGATGAGATGAGCACAGGTGTGTATAAGCAGCTGGCTGGGAATGCATTCATGGCCTGTGGGGTCATGTATGTCACCAGGTCAGTGGATGTGAGCACAGAGGAGATCTTTTATGCCTATGACACAAAGACCAAGCAGGAGAAGCACCTGAGCATTCTCTTCCCCAAATTCCAGGAGAAATACTCCAATTTGGATTATAATCCCAGTGATCAGAAGCTCTATATGTACAACAACGGCTACTACGTGTCCTATAATGTGAGGTTCAACAAAGAGTGATCCTTCCTTCATATGCGATCTTTTTTTATATTGATTGATACAAAAGATCTGTATTTACTCACTCAGTCTCTGCAGCTACATGAATATATGTGCTGTGAAATCACTCACTGTCTTTTCCTGATTAAAATCTATCTGCATCCAAAACCTGTTTATTTGTTGTACCTTTTGTGGTCATAAATTATACAGCCTAACACTGTTAATGGGTCACACAATAGGGGAAAAGTGTACAATTACTGCATAAAAGTATAAGAAAATTTGCTCCAGGTGATTAAATACAAAACTACACAATACAAAGTAATTATATTAGATTATATTACAGTATAGTATACTGACATGAAATGGAATATGTTCAATTTTTTTGTCCAGTTTCCAAACTACAGTAATCATTTGCACTCTCATATTTGGTCAGTAAAGAAATAGTGGAATAAAATAAACACTGTAATCTCAGTATGATGGCATCAAACACACCTGCACTGATCTCAAGGATGTAAATAGATGGGACATAACTGCAGAAAAATGTCACGTGTTTTAGCTCACTGGAATGAGATGTTAGACCCACAAACCCTCTTACCAATCCCATGAGACACTTTGTTAGACAATCTTAAAGTAAAAGCAGCGCACATCTGACTCTGCTACCTTACTTTCTCACTCTAAACTCTTTTCCATTGTGGATTTAGAGAAATTCATGTTTTTATTCAGAGGTATTCATGTGATATGGTCATGAAATAACAGAGTTTGCTTGAAGCTCATTAAGGACTGAGTGTCATGTTTTTTAGTCTTTTAGAGACTGCACTTCTTTTTTTTTAATACCCTTGCAATACAGCCTTTGCATGTTACTGTCTATCTGAATGAAAATGTGACCAATTAAGATCTTGAAATCTTGATTCTTAAAATCTCCATGATACTACTCTTAAATAAAATTGACCAGATTACCCATAACTCTTTTCTTAATTGTTATTTACATTGTTATTCCAACAGCTCCTTCAGTGACAGGCTTCTTCACCTGCTGTGTGTGACAGAGAAATACCACAGGTCCTTCCTCCCTGCTGCAGTCAGACTTTAACCAGGCCTTCTTCCACTAATTCAGGTTTTTTAGCACAACTATCCGACAATAACTCAATGCTACTTCAATGTGCAATGTTGACAGGCCAGATGTTTATTACAATTGCAAATACCTACATTTTTCTCAGGTATAATGACTCAAATAATGTGCAATAACATGTCCAATTTTGTTTTTGCTCTGTGTAGAACCATTTTAGGTTTTTTTTATTGTATCTTACTTTTTTCAAATTTACATTTTCTATATAGGTCTAAGTTAACTGTATTTTGATAACTATCTGTGCACTTTGTGCAGGATGAGCGTACTTATTCTTCTGCGTTTGCTATGCTGATCCTCTGCAGCTGTTAACACCGCAAATTTCCTTACCATGGAATGAGTAAGGGGTTTTCTTATCTTATCTTACACTCTTGTATGAAGGTCCGATGAGAAGCATAGTAGCGACCACATCACAATGCCGTCACGTATACTGGATAAGGTCATGAACAGAGCAACAGCCATCTCAAGTGAAGTCAAAACTGTTAAAACTGCTCCTGGTGAAATCTCTTATTCTTGGTGAGCTGTATTTTATCTGATTTAAATGATCTTGACATCATTTCTGTGTCTGTGCAAGGCTTAGAAAGCACTTCGAATCCTGTAATGAAATCAGTATTGAACATTTAAATGAGTTTGTTTTTTTCAATTAAAAAAATCAGCTAAAATCACATGTAATCATGGTTGTAAAGTAATCATAAACCACTGTGGTAAAAAAAACAAAACAAAAAAAACTCCCTTCCTGCTTTTAGATGAGATCCAATTATCTGACACATCTCAGGGCTTCCTCTCTCCCCTCTTGCCTTCCATCCTGCTCCATGTCAGAGCAGCCGACCCGCCTCTGTAAGCTGGCCCTCCCTTGAGGGTAGAAACGACTCCCCTTTGTGCTGTGGTCAGAGCCTGGCTCCATCTGGTACTGAGCACCAGGAACCGGCAGATTATAGATTCAGGGCAAGGTTTTTTTTTTTTTTCTATTCAAAGTGTGAGTGACACATTGTGCAAAAATAGAAAACTATGTTTTATAAATTAAGCAATTTCACCATGGGATTTGGTTGAAGTGAACAAAAAAGCTTGACATCTAATCCATTTTTGGGGCAATGAAAATCAGGGCTGAAAATGGCCTTCTGTTGATGAAGACAAAAACAGTACTGTCTCTTTAAATCAACCAGCATCTGCGAGGAAGAGAGGAGGGGAGAGGGTTGAGCTGGAGGGAGAGCCTTGTGCGTAAGGTGCCCTGGAGTGACATGACGCTCAGCCAATCAGTAGCCTCGCCTGAGCTCTCGCCTTCTCCCCTTCTTCTGAGAGGAGTGTGTTGAGACAGCTAGGACACGGGTACGGCTGCTGCTTGTGCTTCTGCTGCTGAGGATGATGATACTGGTGTAGATGTTGGGGTGGAGAGACCAGGGCATGATCGCCTTACATCAGGTACAGAGGGGTATTTACTCCAGAATTTTTATCACGGTGGATTGTTTTTCCGTGAGAGTGCATGTGTGGACGTGGATGGATGGTGATGTAGGAGACTGAAGATGGCTTTGTGTGTTTCATAACAGCCCTTTGAGGATGTCGCCTCCATGACTGTAACCAGGCTAGGGGGCTAGGGTGTGAATGTGTGTGATGTTAAATTCTTCAGCCAAATTAGAATAAGAAAAAAATATATCATATGATTGTTGTATCATACTTACTTGTCTGCATAAGCTTTCACTGCCTTACTGATGATCTGTTAGATATAATAAATACATATCTGCACAATTTTACAGCAAAGAGTTGATTTGCATCTCAGAAATAATCCATTTCATGTGATTTGTGTGCTCATGTGGGCTGTTTTTTTGCAGCCACAATCACAGACACAGTTTTAACAGAATGTGTCATTGTGATATTATAGTTATTTTTTATTATTTTTGTGAGAATTGACTCATTCCCCAGTGCCATCTTTTAGTTTCAGCAGTCATATAAGGATCAACGACAACCTCATAACCCTAAAATAAACAGGACCATGTGCCTCAGCGCTCTGAGTCACCTCCCTGTCATTTTGGACCTTTTCTTTTCTGTTTCTTTCCATTCATCAAAAAATAGTAGACATCAGCTTGTACTCACTTCCTGTGCTGGTCCGGAGGTTAACTCTTTGTTTCCACCCGCTCAGATGAGCATGCTCGGCTGCACAGACCTGAGCCATGGAGTCGCTGGGGGCAGACACACAGAGAGCCCAGTGACAGCAGATAGAGATGTCTTCTGCTGTCGATAAAACAAGGGAGCAAAGGTCAGACCAAGCCTTCAAAGTTACAGTCTGTAGATACTCTTTATGAGCCAAACAGAAGCAGAATGGTTCGTGCAGCAGCTCAAGATGTAGTTTATGTTTTAAATTATAAAGCAACCCGGACTACCTGCTTTGTCTAAATTTATTCCAGCTGAATCAACAGTATCTCTGTCTTTGCTGTGCTCAGCCCCATCTGGTCCCTGAAGGGTCCAGAACAAGGCAGCGATGGCGAAGAGGGATTACCTGGTGGAGGCGGCCAAGCAGATACGTATGGCCCTGGACAGCGAGGTGAATGAGGACTATGAGGCCGCTTTCAGCTACTACAAGAACGGGGTGGACCTGCTGCTGAATGGAGTTCAGTGTAAGCAGAAAATATCAGGTTTTTCAAGCAATTGTTAAAGCTTGTTAGCACTGTGAATGGGGAATTTAAAGAGGCGTGTTTGCAGAAGACATGTGATGCGAAACATGTGGACAAGAATAAAAACAGGAAGTCACAAACCAAAGGGTAGACACTTCATTCCAGTCATCAGCCAGCTGAGGTTATCAAAGATCTTTCCTTGTACTTTTTTCACACAGCTTCTGTTTTTTTTTCGTGTTTATTGGCATCTGATCGAGGTTAATGTTTTACAGTGGACCCAAACAAGGACCGTCGGGAGGCAGTGAAGAGAAAAACAACCCAGTATCTTAAGAGAGCTGAAGAAATCTTCATCACACATCTGCAGGACAACCTTGGCAAGGGCAGCTCTCATTTAGGGGTAATAAAATAATCACTGTTTCAACCATTTGTTTAAAAAAAAGGAACATAGTGATCACTCTTTAGAGGTGGCTTTCATTTCCTCTTATTCTATGGTGATTAAGAGGGCAGCGCTTGGCTATTATTGAGTAAGGTGGTGTGCAAAGTCAGCATTTTTAGTACCACACAACAGCACCTCATGCCTTGCTTCCTACAAAAGGAGAAGCATAAGGGCCTGTTCTTCCCACATTATCTCACAGCTTTAGTCGTCTAAAAAAATGTGGAAAAACTGCATGTCTCACTTGTGAAATGCTTCACTATACCCCCACTCACACCCCCTGTGGGTATTATTTCTAGGGTTACAGCAGTCTGAGGTTCCGCCCAATCAGACATTTGAGCTCACCTGTAGAGGACTTGGAGATGTGCAAGGTAGTTGGAGTGACTGATAAGGTAATACTGGCTTATTTTGACTCGAATGCTTACTATATGAGTGTATTCATTTCTCTGTAGGCGCTTAGTGTTGGGCGCACAGTATCATAATAATAATTTTTCCATCCACAGGTCCTGATTGTCCAAAGCATGGTCAATAAGGAGACTTTTGTTGTAAAGGTCAGTCTTTTTTCTCTGTTGTTAGAGGAGAATCTAAAGGGCGGTAGAGAATAAATGATGTGATATTAACTTTGTGTTAAAAATGTAAATTAATGCTCCTGTATGTTTCAATTATTTTGGTGGCTCTTTTACACAAAGCGATACCTCTAATCTGTTCACTGATGCTGCCCTGTATATGTGTTTTTGCCATTTAAAAAACAGAGATATCATCCTACTTGTTTACAGAGAGTAGGGTGATATCTGAGATGTGTCACTCATTGAGAGCCTTTGCTGTGAAAATGCAAAGAAAGGCTGTTCATTCAGTGTGCTATTCATAGGACACCCAGCACTGGTGCGTCAAGAATAACTTCATAAAAATAATTATCTTTATCGATGATGAGCTCATTTTCTTTTTGTAGTTCATAAATAGGCTTCAGTATAAATTTTAACCTGCTTTAGAAACAGCTAAAAATTCCTCACAGAGGCTTTAAAGGCAAACGTCTCTCCGCTGACAGCAGATAGATTTCAGGGTTGCCTTCTGGCAGAGACCCCGCTCTTGTATTGTGTGGCAGGGCAGTCGATGGAAGCTCTCTCCATCCTGTCTCCCTGAGTATCATCCAGCATTGATCTGCCTGAAAGCCCTCACCCTTTTAGCCAGCGCAAGCACACCTCAAATTTCACTGACTGGATAGACGATGCATCAGACAGCCTTTCATCTTTACAGGGGTAGCAGGAGTAGTCGTTAGCCTACTTCCTTTTAATCAGGTCTGACACTGTTTTCCTCCTGCAAACATGCATTTTCCTTTACTCAAAGAGTCAGTCGTGTTGTGATTGTGCTTTTTCAGAGTCTGGTCAAGTCAAGCTGGGAGAGCAGGGACCAGCCCACCATCATTCCTCAGGGGGTGCCATACATGGTGAAGCTGCTGAGGTATTATGTTAGTGAGGATGCTGTGTACCTGCATCTGGAGCATGTCAAAGGTGAGATTTCAACCATCACTCTGCTCTCTGTGCTGCTGGGTCGGACAGTGTGGGACAGACTGAGAAACATATAAAAAAGTCCACTGATTTTGACAAAGTATGTATGATCTTATCGTCTAAGGTGGGAGGCTGTTCTCCAAGCTGCACAAGCTAAGAAACGAGAAGGCCAAGGAACACCCAGAATGCTTCGGTTCTGGTAAGCCCAGCAACAAGATGAAGACCAGCTACACCTCACCCACAATCAGCACAGACTACCAGCACCACAGCAGAGGGAGCACAGGGGTTACCTTCAGTGACGAGAGTGCAGATACAGACTTCCCCACTTCATGGGATGAGACTCAGCAGCGTGTGGAGAGCTGCGGGACTCACTCCTACATCGAGGAGACAGGGTGTCTGCAGAACAAACGCTCTGCAGCCTCATTTTACACCAGGCTTGAGCGGCTAACTCTGCATACCGGCCCCACCAGAGCACAGCTTAACACCCGCATCCATCCACCAGCCCCCAGTTTGTGTTTGCACTCCAGTGAAACTCAGGAACAGCCTGCTCTTCCTCTGTCTTGCGCTCGTGTCAGTCAAGCCCTCGATGTCATGTCAGGAGTTCACTCAAAGAAAGTGGGGATGGGGCTGACGGAGTGCAGCTCTGAGTTTGAAGCGGCCTGGAAAGCTGCAGATCCAGCACAAAACTGTGAGAAAATAAACCCCTATGCAGTGACTGACAGTCATTCTCATAGCATACTTCGACCAACTTCACCTCATGCCAATCAGACCTCACTGATGAAAGCAGGATCACAAAACACTGAATATAATGGTTTGAGTTCCTCGCCTGCCATTTTGCATCTTCCTCTCCATTGCCAAACCCAGTTCCGTGGAAGGGCAGCATGGGATACCAGTGGCTCCCACCAAGGGTCTGTTCTGGCTGGTAGCTCCACAGACATGGTTACAGACTCAAAGCAGGACAGCAGCCCAACAAATGAGGAAAGAAATGGAGTGGTGGTCATCAAGAGCACGGACAGAGCTGTATTTTCTGAACACACAGACTCAAAGGTTTCTGTGGGGAGCTCCTGGACTTCCTCTGCCTCACTCTGCCACAGCTTTGCAGCAAAACAAGGGAAACTCCCAGGGGTGAATGACAAAGGGGGGACATGTTTAAGAGAAGGCGTTGAAGAAGTCTGTGAGCTGAGCCTGAGAGAGAAGGATAAACCTGCCAAAGAGGGACCATTTGTGAGCTGGTTCTCCTCAAACCCTCCTGGAGCCCCACCCAACAGGAACTCAGAGGATGTCCTCCTGAAATCAGAGGGATCAGACGGCCAGGTGGAAGACCAGATCATAGAAGTGGATGGATGGTGCCACCTGCCACGGGTTTCTGTAAAAACCTCTGAGCCTACAGATAAGACCATGCAGACCTGCTGGGGGCTCCCTGAGGCAGAGGTGCGTGTCTGGGGAGCCCAGATCCTTCTGGCATTGGAAAGTCTGCATCAGCAAGGCATCCTGTGTCGGGACCTCAATCCTCGAAATGTTCTGCTTACTAGTAATGGTGAGCTCATCTTGTTTATTTATACGAAATGCACGAGGAAAAGAGGAGTGACATTTTGTTTAAACACGGTGTTTTTGCAGGAAAGGTGTGTTTGACATTTTTCGGCCAGTGGAGTGAAGTTCAGTCTGAGATTTGTTCCAAAGCCATGGATCAGATGTACTGTGCTCCAGGTAACGTAGAGTGCTTGTTCTCAAGGCTGAGTTGTGTTTGTTCTGTGGTGCAACCTGCCACCTAGTGGCCAGATTTAGATGGTCTATTAAAGTAGCATGAAGCATCCATTTGACAGCATAAATCTCATATAATGTGAATGAACTCTGAATTCATCTTGTTTATTGTTGACAGAAATTGGTGGTGTATCCAGGGTTACCGAGGCATGTGATTGGTGGAGTCTAGGAGCTTTGTTGTTTGAACTATTAACAGGAATGGTAAGGGAAGACTCTTCCAAGCATGTTTAGTCTTAGTATTCAAGTATTGAAGTGTGTTTTAGGCTAACTATAACACCGTTTTCTCTGCTCACTCTGCCTTCAGCCACTCTGGCAGCTCCATCCAGCAGGAATCCACTCCCACACCCAGTTGCTCATCCCCGACCACCTGAGCACCGCAGCTGCTTCTCTGCTCACAGAGGTCAGATTTAAAGCTTCATATACCCGCATGGAGCCTGTGAAATATACTCAGCAACACTCACCTGATTTTATCTAACAGGATCATGTCTTCTTCACAGTTGCTTCAGTTTGATGCTGGCTATCGTTTGGGGTCTGGAGGTGGAGGAGTCAGCGACATCAAGTGTCATCCTTTTTTCAGTGCAATCTCCTGGAAGGCTCTGAGCTGCTAGCAGGAGCAGCAGCGGCTCCTCAGATCCCTGTCCTGTTTTTAGTCAGCAGATGAACTGAACAAAGCATCTTTTTGTGGCCGGTTGTGCTTCCTAAAATAAACTGACAGTAAAAGATAGAATATGAACAAAAAGGATGAATCGTGCCCCTTCCAGATCATGAAAAAAGATGTGTTTATCTAAACTTCTGAGACTTAAATTATAGGAACTTAAAGTACTTTTGATGCAATTTTGATACATTTCGTTTTACTGTATCCATGCATATTACTTCTTAGTTAACATGCATGAATATCTGACACCAACCCAAGACTGAATTCTAAGTATTACAAATGTTTGACTATCTCGAATTGAATATTGTTCAAAAACAAGAACATGTGGCAATAAATTGTTACAGCTTCTTTATTCCTGGTATTTTATTAACTTGTGTGTTCTTGTTCTCCTGACAATACTAATCTGAAGATCTTGAACATCCAGCATTAATCACACCCCAGCAAGAGTATACCAGCATCGTACGGCTCTAAATCGAGATGGCTATTGTGTGGTCATGGATGCTTTCCTTCGTTTCGTGCTTTTTTTATCAGCTCTTAGGAACTCAAACTCTACCTTTCTTCTTTCTTCATCATGAATAAGTATTTTCTCTTTTGCTAATACTTTAGGACATGCAGCTGCACGTGAAACATCTAGGAATGAAGATATACACAAAAGGGTTTATAGACACTTTACACTTCACAGCTCACAGGATTTAACTAGTCTTGGCTGCAGATACGAAAAAGGACAAAAAAGAAAACACTAATTTCAGTCGAGTAATGCAGCTTTATTGTTTAAAACTTCCTTTTTTCTTAAATAGTCGTTCTTACACAGCATATAGAGAATTATCCTCTTTTTGTAAAACAGATGACATAAATTCTTTCAGAGGGTTTTGACAGTTTGGACATTTTATAAGATAGTGTTTCTTGGTTTATGGCTGCATATGTGCTCATTGTTCTTTTCTCCACCAAAATAATGAAATGACACTATCCAGTTTATCTGTTTGCTTTACTTAAACAATATTTTTTCTGTTGAGTGTAGAAAATGACATATGGCGCACAAGTTATAGAATATTCTCTTTTTGATCTAGAGACCAGCACCACAGAGACCCCAGACCCTAATGACACGTCTCCACATCAGAACTAAACCTTTAAGCGCTTCCAGCCTTACAAATGTCCAGTGCACAACCAAACTGTCCTTCAAAAATCCTTTTTTTTTTTTTCTACTGAACCAAGACAACAATACATCAACTGCAGTTACAGTAATGTTCATCGGGTGATTACAGCCACTGTTTGTTGAGTAGTGTGGTTTGTTTGGTTGGGCCTGGAGTTCACGAGGGCTCACATGTCGAGGAGCAGCACCCTAGGGTCCTCCACCACTGACTTGATCTTGCGCAGGAAAGTGACGGCCTCTCTCCCATCAATCAGGCGATGGTCATATGTCAGGGCGACATACATCATGGGACGGATCTCCACCTGAGAAAGCAAATTTATGGTGATTTTTTGACACAATTATGATATAGTCATCTGTAATTTAAATCTTCGTATTATCATAGAAAGCTCTGATTTAGGTTTTATGACATATTTTAAAATTTCTATTCGATAGCTCTGTCACTTATTGAAATAATTATGTATTCAATGATACCAAAATGTCTCATGTCATAGTCTCACCTTGCCACCAACTGCCACAGGCCTGTCAAAGATGCCATGCATGCCTAAAATAGCAGACTGTGGTGGGTTAATTATAGGTGTGCCAAACATGGACCCAAACACACCGCCGTTACTGATGGTGAAGGTTCCTCCGTCCATGTCTTCAACAGCCAGCTCATTTTTCCGAGCCTGCAGTGACATACGTCCACAGTAGAAATCAATCACATGCCTTAAGATCAACAAATGAAACAAACATTTACAACAAACCAGACTTGAAGATTAATTCTAAAATATTACCTTCTCTCCCAACAAATTGATGGCTTTCTCAATATCGGCAAAATTCATTCCCTCTACGTTTCGGATTACGGGAACCACCAGACCCTGAGAGGAAAGTCGGTTACTCAATTTTCTGCCCGTCACATTAGAGAAAGTGGAACATCAAGCACTTACACTTCACATCAGGATTTAATGCACTTGTCTTACCTTTGGTGTGGCCACAGCTACACTAATGTCCACATAGTCCCTGTACACAATCTCTTTGGTTGTGTCATCAATTACTACAAAAACACAAAGAACAAATATCTGAAGTGTTTTACAAACACACAAACAAAGAAAATAAATGCTTGCCGATCACCATGGCATTTGCCGTATACGTTTCCTTGACATGGGTGACACTTCTTATAAGTGGCAAATAAAAAGCTATCTAAGGTAAAAGCCACAGAGTGTATTTGCGCCCCCCTCGTTTCGCTGTGGTCTGTCTAAATAGGTCAGGGCGGTCTGAAGGCAGTAAATAAATTAACGTTGGTTTTGAGGTTTTGTAAATTATTTTCTTCCACCACACGCTCATGCTTGCAGTAGCAAGACACCAGGCATGCAAACTGATTCACGAAGACAGATTTTCGACATCTTTAACAGTGAAATCTGTACCTCCATTAACAGCAGGTTGGTCAGTCAGAGCGTAGGCAGCAGCCTTCACAAACGCAGACATGAAGCCCAACTTGATGTTGTGCTTTTTCAGGAAGGCATCTTTGTAAGCCTTGCGCATCTCTGTGATGTTGCTACAGGGAAAAAGTACAAAAGAATTTTGAAGTCAAGCAGGTTTACAGTAGTAAACTTGATTTGATGGCAGGTAGAAAAATAAAGGAGAAAAATCAATGGAAGAAAATAAACTGTGAAATAAAAAGCAAGGTTTAATGATTTTAAAAACGCAGAAATCATTGAAAATACAGCAGTACCAACAAATCACTTTTCAAAAATGTTTGTCCAGGGTGTTCAGAAACACACAGGAGGAAGTGTTTAAAAAAAAAAAGTGTTAAAAATTGATATATTTTCCCTTAAACAATGCAAGAAACTACAAGCAGTTATAGTCACCAAAACCTCTTTTTTCAAATATTATATTACAAATATTCTGACCTGATAAGAACCCATATTGGCCCCAAAGCCTAGGCTTTTCATGGTTCCTTTTGCTGTTACATATTGGGGAGTATTTATGTTTTGAAATTGTCCTGCTAATCGTTTCACCATTGCTCATTTTTCTCTTGTATCTCTCCTTTTAATTGTTTGTTTTCCTGTCTCTAACCCTGTTGAAGCTCTAGGGTTTCTCCGCTAACAAAATTAGCCCCTCCCAAGACACAGACTCTCCGAGAAAGGAGAGAAGAAGCGATAAAAATCTTCACTTTCTCGAGCCTGTAAATCTTATTGGGCTGTCATAAAAGCCCATATCGGTTGAGGCAGCTCTTCCACTCAGCAGGCAGGTCTCTGTGGGCCCTCGCAGATGCTCCGGCCTCCTGCTCTGACCCGCTCCTTCGGCTCCAGATGAGCCCTAGCCTGGGAAGTCTTCCTCCAGACTGTCAATGTCAATCCAATTAGGATACATAGAAAACCCTGAATAGCCGAAAGCTGACACCACACATTTGCGGGGAAAAAGAAATCCTCAAAGTGTCCTCTTCAGTACAGGGGGCAAGTGGAGACAATAACATTTCCTTGTAAATTAATAAAACCTGTTTTACCAATTCTTATCTTCGTTTTAGATGGCATTACCACCAAATATTTACATTCCAGTGTTTAAGAGGATATTGAGTTTCAGAAAGCTTTTCCTATTTGGCAGATTCTAATCTATAACCATGTTAACCACTGTTGTTTTGGCTTTTAACACGGACATACAGTTAGTATGTTTGTGTAAGTGCTGCAAAGTAATGGAGACTTACAAACATTTTGAGAACTATCAAAACAAATTAGGTTTTCTTCACTTTGAAAAAAAAAACTGTCTTTTTCCTTCAGAGGCCCCAGTTTCTGTGTGGTAATACAGCAGAGCATATTGCTTATTTTTTGGCCAAAATAGCACCGAGGTTCAATGATATAGGTCATCTTATTTGGTATTTCCTACCTCATGTCGACCTCATTAAAGGTTGTCAACATAGCGCAGGTGTTTTGAGCTTCCTTCAGTCTCTGAGCAATTCTCAGTCTCATGCGGTTCATCTTAACCTTAAATCAAAAAGAAGAATTATGAGTTAACAGATGCTGATTTTTACTGAACTTTGAAAGGCCAGTAAACAAATTTAAAACCCATCATTCATTTTAAAGTATCAAGAAGATGTGGTCTACCCTGCTTTCTGTCCTTGCTCCTTTTGGCCCGGCCTCTGCTTGAGCTGCTGGAGCAGCTGGAGCAGCAGTGGGCTTGATGGCTGAAGCTAAGAAAAAAACACATGAAAAAGCAGTTAGTGTCTATAGACACTGTTTATTATAGGAAGCCCCTGCCTACAGAAAGCTGAACAATGATTAATCCTGACAGCCAGAGGTCAAGAGCACAGATGTCAAGCAAAACACTTCTCATATGACACACTCAGACTGTCTCATTACAACTAACCTGGTTTGGTGTCCATAGCATGTGCTGGCACAGGTGGCACAGGGGGCATAGTGGTGGGAATGGGACCCACAGCTGAGGGTGGGGGAGGGGGAGGAGGTGGAGCAGCAGAAGGTGGTGGGGGGGCTGCAGCGGCCGGGGCCTCAGCTGTTGGAGCCTCTGCAGCTTTGGGAGCACCAGCTAGCAACACAGAGGTGAGAAGTCATGACTGTAAAGCTCAATCTTAGTGAGATTAGCTGTGGTTAATTTTGGACTAAAAATATAACAATAACAACCTCCTTTTCTAAGTTTAAAAAGAGGGGTTCCTCCCTCCACTTTCCCTCCATCTGGGACCAAAAGCTCCTCAATCACTCCAGCAGCAGGAGAGGGAACCTGCACTGAGGTCTAAGAGCAGGGAAAAAGATCAAAAACATCACATTAACGACGAGATTAGAGGAGAAAGACAAGCAGCTCAAGGACACTCTCCAGAAAAATTTAGAGATTAAGCAGCTCCCCACCAAATGAATAAATACATCTGAACAACTATCATAATAATGAAGAAATGTTTAATCATGTAGGTATTAGTATAATCCAAAGTTTTTTAATTTCTTGTGGGTTTGAAACATACTTGACGAGGAATTTTTTTGAGTTCTTGTTTCATTGCCCTTTTCTTTATCCTTCAAACTTGTCAGCAAGAGCAATTATCATTGTCAAGGACAAAAAGAAAGACAAAACATGCCCCTATTCTTTTCAATTTTTGAGTGTAGCATTGAGACAAGCCTGTGTGTCAAACTCACACATTCCTCGCAGGAAAGGTTCCTTATCTGGTCCCAGGACACATAAATCTTTCCAGACTTGTTTGGACTTTTAGGTTACAACTGAAGCTTGACCCAAACCTCTGACTCTTTCCAGTTGGTCAATTTGAAGAACAGACACAGAGTCTTTAGTACCTTTCAGACTGACTCCATTACTGACCATCTAAATAATCATTCATGCCTCAAACCAGGACGCCCTTCAAAGATTTACAAGTGTCCCAAGTGTGTGAACGTATGGAATCCAACTAAAGGTCTGAGGAGAAGGACGCTGACCTCATAAAACCCTGCTCAACTCTATACTGCTAAAAACTGCATTCCTTTGGTGAAAGAATACAAATGACTGATAATGACGTCTGACGTATTCAGCAATGTACTAATCTGTCTTATCGTGAAATTTGTTTTTAAATAAAACATGTCCTGCTTTTCTACGTGGCCCAGAAGCTAAGATCTCACTCTGACAGAATAAATCCTTCATGCATTAGTTCCTTGAGACCAGTGGTTCTCAAGTCCAGTCCTCGAGGCCCACTGTCCTGCATGTTTTGGATGTTTCCCTGCTCCAACACACCTGATTCAAATGATCAGCTCGTTATTAAGCCATTACAGCGCTTGATAACGAGCTAATCATTTGAATCAGGTGTGTCCAGTGGGCCTCCAGGACTAGACTTGAGAACCACTGCTTTAGATCAACAGCTTTTCACACTGTCTCATGAGCTTATAGGAGTTAAAATAACTTAAAATGAATAATAACCTTACTGTAAGAAACAGAAGTGGTTTAAAAATGTTTAATTTAGGTTTTAATCATTGATATTGACCAAACTCATTCTTTGATGTATTACAAAGACTACTGGAGTAATCCTAAACTCATCCAAATCCATTTCCAAATTTATCTCTACATCACAATTCATGGAGCTTAAAATGTTAGAGCATAAATCAATATGAGATTGATTTCAATTTTGATTTAAGATTGACTTAGTGTTGAATTTCTGAAATAAACTTTTGTTCTTCGAATTTTTCGACAACTAAGAGTGGGTGGTGCCCCTATCAACGAGTGCATAAATGTAATATTTGAAGATTATTATCAAATATTGAATCTTAAGACATTTACTATAAATTCAAATCACTACATAAGACAAAGCCTGACAAGTATCAGTGATTACATTAGGAGCATACAACACATTAGTTTTACCTTATCAGTTTCAATCTCACACACCACCTCATCTTCTGTGACACTGTCTCCAACAGCTGAAAGGAGAAAATACATTAAGCATCTGACATTTAACATTTTTTTATGTCACTGATTTCTTTGACAGAAATAACTATCAAGTTTCCATTGTTCAAACGAGTTACCTTTTTCCCACCTCACGTCCCCCTCTGTGACGGACTCTGCAAAAGCAGGGGTCTTAACCGTGACAACTTCATCTCCTGGAGAACAAAGAAAGGTAAACAGAAATGTATTTCCTACTCCAGAAAAGCAGCAGTTGTGATTAATATTTCTGAGAATACAGAGACTTAAACATACTGTAGGCAACAGAAGTTCTGAAGTACCGGATTTGGAAGACACTGGACTTGGGATCCGATTTTCTAAGGAGGGGAATAAAAATCAGACTTTCAATCCAAAGTTCTTTATCATTAATACAAACTATCATCCAGGAATTGCTCAAAATGCTGATTCATATTCAGCTTGTGTGTATGAGAATAAACATGCTGTATTAACCACATATAAACAGTTACCAATTGATGGCATTGGACAGACTGCAAAGATATGATAAAACTTTATCACTAATAAAAAACACACAGTATGAAACACATTCAAATTCTGACTGTGTCTCTCCTTGTCTCTTGTTCAGTAGTTTAGAGCTGATTTACTTACATATGGTTGTTAAGAGTGACAGAATGGTTAACTGATAGAGCTGCAGGGCACAAAAACAGAGCGATAGGTTATGTACTGTTTTACAGCAAGAGTTCACAAACAAGTAAGTCAGTATTTAAGACCTTGAGCACAGTAAAGCACACACACCTGCAGTGGCCCGACGAGCTAGAACATTGTTCCCCTACAGAAAGAAACAAGGACAACACTTTAGTTCATCACCTACACCCATTACATCTTCAATAATTAAGATGTTCTCCAAAAGTAGTATCTGTGGTAGGGCTGGGCGATATGGGAAAAAGTTTATCACAATATTTTTTTTTTCATATCAGTCGATATCGATATATATCACAATATAAAAAATGAAATTTAAGAGTGCTTATTGGTAGCACGTCTTTTGCGATACAATAAGCTACTACATCTGTGGGGTCTTTATGTCTCTTTGACGTTTTGTCGTAGGGCGTTGCGCTAGAAAGAGTGGACTGAGTGGTCGGCTGTTTCAGCTGCACAGGCGCCATGGGCTCCTTGCTCCGCTCAGGGTTTGTAACCTTTTGCATTGCGCATGCTCTGCCACATGGCACTGCTTAAGGTGGTGAAAAAGATTTGAGGTATTCCCTGACTTTGCTTGAACATGTACTCGACATAATTTGCAGTGCACTTTACTCTGCTTCAGGTCCAACCTCATAAAACCAAAATACCTCCACACCACCTACGTTTTCGTGCCAGTGATGTCGACGATGTCATCATCTGTTGAGCCTTCATCTGCATTTCTGCCAGGGGTGGCACTCATTTTCTTTTTTTGTCACTTACAGCGCTGTCAGCTTCACATGTTAAAGTGCTATGGTTGCGTGTAGCTACAGCCTGTTACTTCGCAGTTGTTTGCTACTTGGTTCTAATTCAGCACATGATTGGTTCAGCACGAAGCGAACCCGGAGCAACTCCCCTTTTTATTGGCTATTCATATCATTTACCAAAACATGGCAGAATGCCGACTATCAACGAGCATATTGACAATGTTTTATATTGATACTGAGGGAAATTAATTTTCGATATATATCGTTATTGCTTCAAATCGTTTAGCCCAGTCCTACTCTATGGTAAAGCTGCTGTATTGGATTGCTTTAGTGTTCATGGTTTTCTGGCTGGTCAGTTCATATCCTTAAGAGTTGACAATGAAATAAAACAAACAAACACACACACAAAAACAGTGTCAATCAGTGACCAAAAATACGACCAGTAACTGTGCATATGGAAACCTAATAGAGTCAACAACAGGCTACTATCGGTCAAAGGTCATTAGCACCCCGCCAATGATCTTTGAGATGATCGATCAAATTATGTGACAAACAAGAGTGCTGAGCAGCATGATTTGATCAAACCAGTGTTTAAAACTTTTTAACAGACCTGACACAACAAATAACTTTAATATCTGCTGATGATCGTACTAACAGGTGTGTACGAGCTACCGAGACTTTACTAAATTGTGAAGAGCTAAACCTGCGTGATCTTTAAAAAGACGCTGCATACCCTCAGTGAAAACAGAAAATTACTGTCATTATTGCTAACCAGGGGTTATAATCTCGTCAAATACAATATGACCTCAGCATGACAGCTAAAAGCACAAAGCTAACCTCCCCGCTTGCATGCTTAAGCTAGCTGCACAGATATTTGTGGACAAGTTTAAACACTCACATGGACAATGCTCTTTCTGCTTATGTAAACCTTAGAAAACGTGCATGTCAAAACGACATATATAAGAGGGAAGTTGAGTACTGCTTTTTAGTATCACACACCCCAACAAAGAGTTGTAACGGGAAGTGTCAGACTGTCCTTGGCTCACAATGTTACGGCCTGTCCGCTAAATGCTAGTGCTAAAGCTAATGCTAGCAAACAGACTCAGGGACTCCGCCCGGAGACAAACGCACGAGGAGTCCTGTCCCCGGCGGCAGAGACAACACTTCATTCTCGGTTGCCTACCTGGCGGATGGCAGAGAGGGAACGGCCGAAATTCCTGGTGAAACACCGGGAATGGGATAACATGGTGGCTGTGTGACAGCAGCCTGTCAGCGGAAGGGAGCTCTGTGGGCACGGCGACAGGCTTGGTGGGCACGCGCAAGAAACGAGGAAGTAGTATGGGAGGAACCAAGTTGACTGAGGGGGTGGGGGGAGTAGGGGTGTGTATACTGTGGTTCACTCTGAGGCATATGAAGATACACAGCCCTCTTCACATATAACTCAATATAGTATAAGAATAAAAAATAAAATAAAATAAAATAAAATATTACAGAGGAATGATTTTTGTTGTTTTAAGGAGAAAGGAATGGATAATTTATTTATGAACCCATTTTAAACATGCAGCAATCAATTTTTTTTACCTTTTTGACATTACTAACCCCTAAAATCTAATTTTTTTAGGTTATTTTAACTTTAAATTGTGCTTTTACAACTTCGAATAATATGACTGTTTCTTATTTCGTGTAACACCTATTTTTTAAGTTGTGTAGCCTACTTTCAAAGTAAATGTAAGACTATTTTTATATTCACCCGCGCTGTAGTGAGCCTACTGCAGTGGTTTTCAACTGGTCTCACTTTGAGACCCATATTTTTCTATGGTCCTTAAGCAGCAACCCACTTTTATAAAATTCAAACCAAGCAAATTAATTTTTTAATGAAAAAAAAACCTTTAAAAACTCAAATCTTTAACATAAATACACCATTTTTATTGAGTAAAGTTCATTTCAGAGCACATGAAGGGGACAACATGAGGACGACAACTACTGAAGTTGCTTATACAGAAAATATTGGATATCTAATAAATATCGTTTAATATTTACTCTTTCGACCAGCTGTTCGTGACCCATCCAGAACGTGTCCGCAACCCACTTTTGGGGTCGGGACCCACCAGTTGAGAACCACTGGCCTAACTGTGAATCCTATCACTGTTTTAATGCTGAACAAGAATCACTGTTATTTATAGTGCTTTGTTTGATTTAACATGTAAATCAAATATTAAGGCTGCATAAACACATTTTGATGAAGTATGATTTTGTATATGCATGATTGTGTTTGACACTGTGATGATGATCAAATAAACTAACTAACTAACTAAACTAACTAACATTAGTATAAGGGCATACTTTTGAAATATTAATGCATTCATACAGACATCTGTTTGTTTCTAAGATCATTGCTTCTGCCCATCAAATCTGAAACTGTTTTAACCACTTCGACTTCATGACGAGCCAAGCCTACACACCAAACACTTTTTTTCTCCTCTTGACATTTTGTGGTTGATGTTGGACCACCTCGTTTCTCTCTGATGGCCACGCCCCAGCTCACTTTGATGCATCGCTTCTCCCTCGTGTTGCTGCTGCTGTGAGTCTGACAGTGTGCGCAGGCCATCAGCTCGGCAGCACGTACCAGCAACAGGTAAGGCCCCATCACCTTACGCCGCTCACTCTCTCTCTCTGTCTGTTCACCTGCTTAGACTGTAGGATTACAGAACAGTGATAAAGTGCATGGCTGCCTCTCGCATTACCTGAATTTACTTTTGTTTTATGTTTTAAAATGAGATAACACGTGTTTTGGAGTACAGCAAACCACCGTAATTTTAAGTTTGACGAGTTTTTATTTAGACTGTCAAATGTCAGTTGGCTGAAGAGTGAATTTCTATCAAGTCTACAGGAATTCTTATCCATAGTTTATTACACAAAGATTAAAGTGGTCAGTGTAATATAGTCTGTAAACTCACTTGAATTAAGAAGACCTTGAATTTGATCTGAATGTTCACAAATTACAAACAAGTTAAATGATACAAAATGCATTGAAGCAGAAGTATGTGTACTTCTTTTCACATGCAACCTCTGGTACATTTTAGTTTTCCTGATGGAGTTTCATACAGATATAATAATTGCATTACCTAGAGAAAAGTTGAAATCACTCATAATGTATTGTTTAAATAGACATTAAAATTACCATAAAGTTTTTCCTAGTCCGTCCAATTAATATGGGATTTATATTTAGTTGCCACTGAACTCAAAGCCCTTTTTTTTTTAGTCTTCTCAAGTTGAATTGTGGAAAGTAATTTAGAATAAAGGCTTCAATAGAAAAAAAATCCATGTGACTATAAAATCCAGTAGTCTGTCTCTTTATTCTCAGACCTTAAAATCCTCTCTTGATCATTTCTTAGTAGCATGAAGAAGATAAAGGATTTCATGATACTTTTAAATAATGTATACACAGAGCCGTTCCTTACTCCTGCTCTTTGGCTTTGATAACCAGACACTTACTTTCATGGCTGTAAACTGGTCTTTTTTCTTTCGTACTAACTATTTTTGCAAATCCCAGGCAAAATGAAACTAACGAATACATTCCCTCACTGTGTGTGTTGTGATAATGGATCTATCTTTAATACACATCGGATCTTCTAGAAAATAATTCAAGCCCTTTTATTTTTTTATTTTATTTGTTAGTCTTTCTGCATTTTCTTGGAAATGTTTTCCAAAATGTAAAGGGTCATATTTGATCATTCAACGAAAACAACTAAATCAGAGATAAATGTTATAATTTGACAAATTTGATCTCTTTTAAATAATGCAGAGATCAAATCCTATTTTCATTAGAGTTTATTAAAATTGCCAAGGTTTTACTCCGTCAAAAACATTATTATATGTATTTAACTCTATTCAGTAAAAGAAATGATAAGCTGAATTAGAGTATTAAAGTGTCAATTCAAAAATGCTTTCTGTATTGATCTTGTTAAAATAATTTCATAATTTGTTCTCATAATATTTCTTAATTTCTTACTGTCATTTCAGTGAACAGGATTTCACCTGACTCTGATTCTGCTCCGTGTATAAAATATGAACCTCAGTCTTCCCGACCAGAACATGCACAGCTCCTCTGAAAGCTGCCTTGAGGACGACAAACCTGATGTTATGCTGCCTTGCTTCCGTAGAAACATGTACGATGAGCCTCTGGCCTCGTACCCTAACGGATCCATCATCTCCCAACTTCTCCGCAAGACGATCCACAACAAGAGGGCTTTAGATGAAAGCCATTTCTTCCTTCCCTCCTCTGCTGCTGACTCCAGCCAGGAGGACCAGAGCAGCGTCTCGTCTAAAGACAGCACAGTGGAAGCTGCCTCTCCTGGTGCTCATGTATCCACTGGAGGCAGCCCAGAGGGAGAGCACCCCATCACTGACCACCTGCAAGCCAAGAGAGCCAGAGTGGAGAACATTATCAGGGTGATGGCAGGCTCTCCCAACAGCAGGCAGCACGGAGACAGTGAGAGGTCAGACACGGATGCTCGAGACACCAGAGAGACCAGAGAGACGTACAGGGAGAACAAACGCAAACAAAGGTTGCCGCAGCATCAGGATCACAGCAGCGGAGGACCAGCGCACAGAAGCACTAACAGTGATATGAGCAAAGCTAAGGATGAGGAGTGTCACAAGCTGAAGGAGCAGCTCCACAGCATGCAAAGGCTCCTCCACCAGCTGCAGGAAAAGTTCCTTCAAGTTTACAACCAGGAAGACCCCGAACACAATGAGACCGATGAGACAGAGGTGGTTGTTGAGCAAGACAGCTCAGGAGAAAACTACACTAACACTGAAGAGAGTTTTAAGAGGAAGACTGCAGACAGGGTTAAAGTTGGTTATCTGGTCCATCAAAGGGAAAGCCAGAACCTGCAGGAGACCCTGAAGCAGGAGCTCACCAGGGCTGTGAATGACTGTGTGGATAGGGTCTTTAAAAAAGTGTCCCCCTCAGGGCTAGATCTGTCGCCCCAGCAGCACATGTGCTCCTCTCCAGAGTTGCAGATTAGCATGAGCGCAGACAGGAAGAGCCAGCAGGCCAGCTCCACCCTGGAGCAGCCCCTGGCAGAAGAGGCTGCAGGGAAACCTCGATCTTTGGAGTATTACGAAAGCTCCGACGCTCAGAGCCCACAGGACCAGACTGAGGCATTGTCCCTGGTCGTCCGTAAGCCAGCAGTGACCCCTCTGAGCTCAGTCACCCCGACAGTGAAGAGACCTTATCCCGTGCACCAGACTCCATTTCAGTTCAATTACCCCACCCCTCTGCATGACAGCCAGATCCTGGAGCATCTTCTAAAGTATGGGCCACATTCCAGCTTTGGGGGTCTCCCCTGCATGCCCCCATCCATTGACAGAACCTCTCCTGACTCAGTGGAGCTGCCCTGGGAAGCCATTTCCATGAGGTCTAAGGTGACATCCGGCCACCTGGGACACCACCCTCGTCCCTCTTCCCTGGGAGGAGTGACGGTTGACAATCTGTGTCTCCCTCATGTGAAGATCGAGTGTGGAGATCTGCAGAGCATGGCTGAACGAAACCCCTACATGTCTCTCAATATATCCTTTCACATTAGAAAAAATACTCTGAGCCTGAGCAGCTTTTAGTTTAGCATTTTTTTTCCTTGTGATGCAGATTTAGGAACAATTTCACTAAATTATCACTATAAAAAAACACAGAAATAGATTAGGATGCATGCCTTAGACCTAACCTTTTGTTAGTTGTGTGAAATAAAGAAGAAAAGCTTTAAAAATCTATAATAGAACAAATATTTTCTAATATAAATTGATTAAACAAACACGGTTTGAAAAGACTGACAGACACTGAAGTGACAGCCTAGATTTCTCCTCTTGTCCTCCTTAGCTAGCGCAGATTACAGCAGGGTATGTTTGATAATTTCACATATACACTGTTTTGATTTCATACAAACTCTCTTTATTTCAGCTCTCCCATTTGAACAATGGCTGGTTGAAGCTCGTTGCAGCATGGGCAGTTCCAGTAACAAACTTCAAGGAGAATTTTTTCTTTGATCTCGCTAACCCCATAGAAAATTACAGCGTCTTCTTTAATCTGAGCCGAGTAATGACTTTAAGTTTAGAAAAAGACAAATAAAAAGGAATACAAGGCTTTGATAAGAATTGCCAGGAACAAAAGCCAATTTTTCAAAGGCAGAGAAAGCATCGGTTTCTGTTTCAGGAAGCGTCATTTTTTTAGACTTGAAAAGGTGCAGGATCTATTTCTCCATCATCAGAGTGATAGGGGTGCATCTGAAAGGTCACATCTGAGTGCTGGTGGAAATCAAAAGTGCCTGCCAACCACAACACTTGAGCTCTTGTCTTGAGCATTTGTTGTTGGATACATTTGTCAGGATGTATATGATGGAAATAGAGTGCAAGATAGCCGTATTTACTCCTCAAAGGAACTCAAAGAAAACCACTCTGAGAAAAAGGAATATTACGCTGAAATATTAGGGCAGAAATATACTTAAAAAAAGGAAATAATGTGTAAAATTATTTGTATATCATCTTTTTTGCTATGTGGTACACATCTTATAAGAAGAGAGAACAACTGATAAAATCCTTCTCAGATCTATACAGTTATTCTTATTACTTTCAGTTGTTTCAGTGTAGATTATTCCCTCTAAAGAGCCTTAAAACACCACAAGTGCTCACTTCAGTTGATTTTATATTTGCAAGGCATTAGAGGGAAGTATTATGTGATGCTTCTCAGGATTCGCTTTCTCTTTACAGTGCAAAAGAGCCCTGCTTCTCTTTGAACAATACCACATAAATCTTTCATTCCAACTTCCTTATTTCAAAGGTAGGGATCCCTAATAAAATCTGCGCTGTGGTGACCTGATAAGGAAATATTATGACCTAAGGCGCGGTGCTGGACTACAGAGGAAACGCTCCTGAGTGTCTTCATTGCCATAGGGGGAAAACTTGAGAAGGTATAGATTGCATTAATTTTTGCGGCAAAGGAAGTGTATGTTTTGATATGTGATGAATGACTTTATTTTTTATTTTTTCACATTATCTAAAAGCCCGAGCAACGGTTTTAAATTTTGGGTGTTATTTCTAAAAGTATGATTTTTTTCAGCCGTTTTGTTAGGTTAAAAAAATCGCAACATATGTCGTCTTTAAACCAACTTAATTATATCAGAAAGTCAGCTCCTTTTTCAAAACATTTCCAAACAAGCTGTCTTAACTGCCAGCCATGAAGTGCTCCACTCTCTAATTAAAAATCCCTAATCGAATTCGTAATTCTGTTTTGCCAATAAGCACATGTTAGGGTCATTATTGACTCCCTGGTTAATGTCGAGCTGTTCTTTAGGGAAATCCAATTTAGCTGAAGATTGAGGCAACACAATACTCTGCTCTGCTATCACTTTGCGGAGCAGTGTATGTTGTGTGTGTGTTTTGTGTATTTGATTATCAGGTTTTGTGCCTTAACACTCATGTGAACATCCAGGAGGGTCTCACCCCGAGCCACCTGAAGAAGGCAAAGCTCATGTTCTTCTACACCCGCTACCCCAGCTCAAATGTGCTGAAAACCTTCTTCCCTGATGTCAAGGTACTTTTTTTTTCCTTTTGATTTCATTTGATAACCTGTTGAAGTGTTTGTCCTGTGCTGTGCTGTGGTCCCTGGTGTCTACATCCAGGGCATGTTTGGGACAGAAAAATCAGCAGTGTGTCGGAGGAGAGAAACAAAAACGCAGAGGGTTTAGACAACAAAGGCGCTGAGCTGCTAGTATGTCCTGGGGGCAGAGGGAGATACAGGGGCATTCTCTCTGTAAAAAGGCCACTCCAGTCAGCAAATGGACTGACAAAGGACTCTGTAGGAAAGGCATTGCTATTGAGTGTCAACACAGAGTTGGTATTAGAGACTTGTGCGGCTGCAACCAGGCGGCGGCGAGCTGGCCCTAAACACAACATCCTGTCTATTTTGGCCTTGGTCTCATGTCAGGCCTCCTCTTCTGTGTCCTCTTTTGCCTTTTTGTCTCCTTTTATCAGCCCTCTTCATGTACCCTATTTACCTCTGCCACCCTCTTTGTAGTCTATTGAGATAAGATCAACTTTTTCTAAACCTTCTTTCTACTTCTCTCAAAACACCTATCCAGTCATTCTCGTCTCTCCTCTTCTTTCACCTTGTCCCTCCATTTCTGAACCACTGCGGGCCCCTGCTCTGACCCTGCGGGGTCAGGGGGGAGGATGCTGTTGCTGCAGCCCCTGCGAACGTCTCCTCCTTGCTTACAATCCTGTGGTGGGAAGTGGCAGTGAACAAAAGAGCACCTAATCCCAGTGTCTGATTCCATCCTATCAGCCTGAGTCAATGAGAGGGAAGCTTCCTTCTGTCCTTACGCTGCCGCTTTCTCACCCTCCACACCAGAGGGAAGAAGCGTCTTTGATGCCTGCCCAGCCCTTAGGCATTTTTTTCTGTCTTTCTGGATGAGGAGATAGAATAACAAGACTAATGTCAAGACTGAGTTTAGAAACACAGAGGCCTGACAGATGTTTTTTCACCAGGGATATTGGTGGGAAAGGATCAGAGCAATTAATTTTGCTTAGAGTGACAGACTATTTGGTGGCATTTTGCCTTACAGGTACCAAAGGCAGCTTTTCAGGCAATTACAGAAAAGTACATTCGATTTTATAATTGAAAGCATGGAGAGTTATAATTTTACATTTACGATTTTTCTCACTGAATTCGAAGGTTTAATTGGACAGTGGCACAATTATAATTCTCCATGAGGATGCTTTCATTTACCCTCGTCACAAGTAACTGCACCTACATGAATTTATTTAAAAGATTAGCACCTATAAGCAAGTTTGACGGTTCAGTTCTATATTGAATACATAAATGTTTTGTCCTTTTAATTTTACAGTTTAACCGTTGCATCACCTCTCAGCTCATCAAGTGGTTCAGTAACTTCAGGGAGTTCTACTACATCCAGATGGAGAAGTTTGCCCGCCAGGCCATCGTGGACGGCATCAGTGATGTCAAAGATATTACAGTCAGCAGAGACTCAGAGCTGTTCCGAGCACTCAACATGCACTACAACAAAGCCAATGACTTCCACGTAAGTGTCACTTATGACTCAGTCTTTCTTTTGTGCTGGGGTTGTATTGTTGGCATCAAGATAATTCTGAGATTTTTTCTGCAGAGCTTTTTGATGTAAGAGATTTGGCCCTTATTCTGAACTCTCTTCGAGACAAAGACAAACAAGGTTTCCTTTCCTAGTTCAGCACTTAACAGGAATAAAAACTAAAAGAAAGAAAGAAAGAGAGAAAGAAAGAAAGAAACAGCTGCCTTAATTCTCTATAACAAAAAAATCAACATATCAGCATCTTTTAGTCATGTGACCATGACTGATATCCCACAAAAAAAGAAATAAAACAACAACAAAAAATTCTAAAAACTTGATTTGACTACTTATTTTAAAGTAATTGTTAAACATTTGTTTAAAAGTTTTTTTAAGAGTTAAAACAAAATTAAGGATTTTAAAGTATAGCCCACTTCTTTCATTTCTGTCAGCTCAATTTTAAACTATTGCAGGCAACCATGTGGCATAGCTTTGTACAAAGAGGGAAATCTCCAGGCTCCCCTACCTCCCCTTATATTAGCAGAGTCAGATTTCAGATTAAATATTGATCAACTTCATGTCTATCAGGCTATTATCAACCTACAGGAAGTAGCCAAACCTTAAAAAAAAGAAAAATCAAGAGACAACTTGCCTCGCTCTAGCCCAGCAAATATAACAAAGAAACTTACATTTTACATAGCTACTTTACCATGTTATCTGTCTTGATGTAGGGATGCTGGTAGGTGGATTTTATTACTTTAAAACACAGCAGAGGTGGCTATATCCCTCTGCAAATCGTCTTTACGCTGCTCATATCTTTCGGATGTCTGGGAATGATCAATCATCTTACTCCCTTTCAAAATGAATTCACTAAAAGGTCGAGGCTCTTCTTTTAGCAGCTTTGACATTAGAGAAAAGTGACCACAGCAGTTAGTAACCTGCTGAAGTATGTCCTCCTGTCAGCATGTAGCTGCAGTGGTCACGTATGTCCGAGTGCTGACCTGTTTGTCACACTGCACCTGTGGCTGGCAGGCCTTTACAGCCATTATCTAAACTCCAGAGTGATGCTTTATCAAACTGTGGGAAGAGGAAGCCGCAAAATCCCACTAAAACAACTCAGGATTAGAGGACCAGTACGCCTGAGCGAGACTCAGATTGCTACTGATGCGGAATGCTGAGAAAGACGCTGTGGATACCGAGGGAGAAGGCAGTTTGGTGGGAAAGGGACGAGACCGTTTTCTTTACCTTGGAACCAAGACATTCCTTTCCCAGGGATGCTTTTGTGTCAGGAGATGAGGGGAAAGAAAAATAACTTATGCCAACAACTGTTGTGCTAACTATTCAGTGGGTGGGAAACAAGGGCTGCAGGGCGTTTCTCTCCCAGCATCCATTGCATCTGGACTTGATCCGTTGATCATTTCATGGATCTTCCTGAAGTTTCTGATCACTATCAGATTCTAACCTGAACTTAAACCTCATCTGGCCTGTACTTAAATCTGACCATCTCACGCCTTTAACCATATCATTGAAATCTTTAGCTTTCAGCCATAGCCTTGGTTGAGATTCATAATCGCATTTTGTCGACTGATCTTGACAGAGCAAGAGAAAGTCCCCAGGGAGACAATTCACCAGTTGTGAGGTTAGATTCAAGAAAACAAGACTGGCTAATCAAAGAGGCCTCTAAATGAGCGTTAATGATCGCAGTATTGCATTTGTGTTCAGAGAACAAAGAGGTGAGCTCCCTTTCATCAGCTTGAGTGTTTGAAGATTTGTGCCACAGGTCTGCATATCATACGTTTTTGACTTTGAGGAAACTGAAGACTGATTGTAAAACAGCAGAAAATGTAGTGCTTCTTCTCTGTTGGAAAAAAATGTTTTTAACAAGAATGACTTCACTCAGAAGTTTCCTTTTTTTTAACAGGTTCCAGACAGATTCCTGGAGGTGGCTGAGATCACCCTGCATGAATTTTACAACGCCATCTTTGCAGCCAAAGATTCAGACCCCTCTTGGAAAAAAGCTATATACAAGGTGATCTGTAAACTAGACAGTGACGTGCCAGAGGAGTTCAAGACATCCTCTTATTTATAGGCTCAAGCTTAGAACAGAGAATGAAAAGAAGTGACAGGACAGAATTGTTTCATCCTTCTCGTAGTGCATTTTAGTGAGGTGAAATAGGTGAACATTTTGTAGATCTGTAAACGCACACACAAACACATTTTAAAAACTAGTCTTACATGCTGTATGTTTTACTTCGACCAAAAAAGATACTGAATATTGATGCTCTTGTGGTTTATTCTATTGTTTAGTGTTAACTTACAGTATATATGATATGCCTCATCACATTTTAGAGAGTTTGTAGGTGTGTAAAAATGTTTACAAGTGTAATCTTTCTCTTCAGTATTATGAAAGTGTAGAGTAGCAGGATTTGGTTGAACTGGAAGAGGGTTTTTTTGGCAATTACCGTCAGTATTAATTTGCTTTAATTCTCTTTTATTTCCTTGCTGTGTGCGCTGTGTAAATACTCTTGCACTGCTGTTGTATGTTGTGTTGTAATTTTGTTGTGAGCTTGACAGAATGTGCTTGTGAAATTACTGCAAGGGGCTGTCGAGCAGTTTATTATCATGTAAAAAGTTCACGTTAAGTACAATCATTTTTCACAATTCAGTCACAGAAACTGTATTGGATGATTGTTGAAATTAAAGATGCACTAAATTATGAGTCATTTGTTTTTGTGTTGTCTTTTTCTGGCTGTATGGAAATATTTCACACAACACAGCAGTGAAATGCTTTGGTTTTTATGTCATAAACGTTTAACCATCCCAGTAAAAACAGTTTGTGTCATCCCCTAGCCCCTAAGGTGCCTCTAATCCACGTCCAGCAGCCAGCTGTTGAATGTCCCCCTGAACTATGCCGTTCACATTGTTCACCGAAGCTCAATTCAAGTCAACTTTCTAAGGCCTGCATTCATTGTGTGGCCTGTGCGGATGCAGACAACTGCCATGTCTTAAAAACAACCACAATGCATTCTCTCCTAATGACTAATGCCCGAGGTGACCTCATATTGCTGTTGTGCTACCGAAGCAAAATTCCACCAGCCCGTTGACTCTTTCTTCCAGGCACCCGCTCGAAGCGCGCTGATCACAAACACACGTGCACATGCACACACAAGCTTGGTGATGTCTCAAAAACAACACATGATCTACTTCATCCACTTGGTTTGATACAACCAAAACATGACATCCAAGGATGAACAGCGATGACTTATTCAGTACTCTGATACTATTTATTTTTGTTTAATTTCACTGTGAAAGTTCAGGTAAAAGGCAACAGACTGCCTTTAAAATGAAAGAGTAAAAGCACAGAGAACATTCTCCAACAGCACTTCTCTCAAAGTGCTCTGTTTCTTCTCCCTGAGTGAGATTACACCGTCAGAGCCCAAAACCAAACATTTAATTGGAAAACCTGTTAGGCACCCAAGCACCAATTACATCAGAAATGATAACATTAAGGAAATTAAAACATTAGTTGGATTGGCTGATGACAAATACTGGAGACAATAAAGCTCACTAATCTTTTAATAGACATTTCTTTTCAATTAGATCAGTCTCCTTCAGTAAATTGATTTACATTCTCAACTCAATTAAAACGCCTCTGGATGAACCAAAGTACGTTGCACCAAAATTAATTTGTTGTGTTACAATTTCTGAACAAGACTTTAGTGACCTCTGCTACAATGAAAGAAAATAACAGAAAATACCTCCAGTGGCTGCACTGCCTCTGGCTGACAGGCCTTCAACTTAAACAGACTGATATGAAATTATTATTGTCATGTATTACAGAGTCTAAGATAAAACAGAGCGCACTTTATAATGAAGATGAAATGGAAAGTAGAAAGGCAGTAGGATGTGATAACATTCAAATGAAAACACTGCCTTAATGTTATGAATGTAACCTCGTAGAAAAGCAGACTTGTACAAAATTCTGCTTTTTATCAAACAGATTTTTTTATGTACATCACATTTACTTCTGAACTGTGGCACGGTGGGTGAGCACTAAAGAGTAACAGCATCATCTAGTGAATCTCTGCTGTAATACACACAGCTCAGCTCACCTCAGCCTCAAATCACGCATCTCTGACAATTCAATCAGGTTTTATCAGATAAATATATTTTTAATTCAATCTTTATTTCACCTGAAATATTTCAGAAACAAAAATCTTTTCTTACAATAGAGACCTGGCCAAGAAAGTGCTGCAAAAATAATGTTTAAAAGAATCAAACAGGCCACTGCATCTGAAAATACAACACACATTTAAGAATGAAGTTGCAGCAAATCTGGATTTGCCGCATGAATGAGGCTTAAAAAATCTAGTGAGATATTTTTGGCTTTTGCCAAGTCTGATGTTTTTGCAGCATGGTTGAATATTTATCTACTCTGTTTTTATTATCTCTGCAACAGATAGAGTAACCTGGTTTAGGTGCCTTTGAAACTCGGACCAAGATGAGGGAGCAAAATCATCCCCAGTGCATTTACTTGTATTGTTTTGTTGCTTAGGAATGTCCTTTGAATTTTTCAGGCAATCACTAAAAGCAAATCTGTGCAATAAATCTGACATTTCAGTCTCTAAATGCAGCTTCAGATCCTGTTGTGTGCTCAAATCTCCACAAAGGGGTGCACTTGTCCCTGCAAACAAATATGGAGTTAGGTTTCTCACTTTGAAGGCTCAACTTCAGGGAAATTGATACTGTGAAATCCTTTTTAATTGTCAGCATCCTGTTTTCTGTGTTTTGTGGGGAAGTAAAGCATGTCTGATTGAGCACAGTCAATGTGTATGTGTGCGGTGTGATATTAATAGGAAAATCAGCCTAGTGTCTCCTTAGCAGGGTCCTGGAGAGACAAAAGCAGGATCATACGTCCCTGAGCTGGAGACAAAAGGAGCTGTGGGACTGGGGGGCACTGGGACAGACCCTGTGTTTAATCTCCTGCTTAGAGATACGGGTTTTTAACTTTCTCACACTGGGAGGGCGCAGGGAGCAAAAGGGAGTACAACTTGAGAGCGTAAGGCCGCTGACTTTAGGCTGCCCTTCAGACAACCACTTCTTGGTGTAGTTTGGTGTGATCACCAGTAAATCTTTATTAATTTTAATTGGAGCCCCCATTTAAAAGAGCAATTAAAGCGGATTAATCGAGCCCATCCCGTATAATGTCTTCTGTTAATTAGTTTGTCAGCACTGTTTTAATATCGCTTAATGACTTCATATTTCAGGGATGACATTAAAGGGATGCTGAAGGAAAAGAAATGGCCTTATCACAATGCGCTGCATTAATGGGAGATGTCCCCCGCCAGCGGGCAAGGTCAGGCCGTGGGGCCGCCGGGGAGGAAGAGGCTTCAGGGTGGTACTGAGGCAGCCACCTCCAGGGATACACCGGCTCACACACTCTGCTGCACAGGCAGTCTAATACAGGCACAAGCTTTCATTTAACAAGGCGACAAATAACTCAGGAAAAGGATGAATAGAGATGTGTTGATCCTTGTCGGATCCTGTTTTTTTTTTTTCAATTTGTGCACCACACTCTGACATATTAGATTCAAGGAGGTTTTGTTGTCATTTCAGGACATTTTAGTGCATTAAAAAGAACTGAATCACTCTGGTCTTGATGCGACAGTATAAAATGCATAATTTCCACAATAAAAACCCTCAACTCTGATTCGATAATCAAATGAATGAAATCCTATCAAGAAGTCTAAACAATAAATTGAACTTTACCAGAATAAAATTACCCTTTTTATCTTAAATGCCAAAAATGCAAAGAAGTTTATTACGTATGGAGGTTAACACAGGTTGACAGCTGTCGTGGATGGTATTTTACACAGAATAGAATAGAAAAGATCTGCTGAAAACTCTTTCAGATCATATTCACTCTGTACTTATTGTTGATGATAAATATGTTGAACTTGGTTTTCTGTCAAGTGCTTATGTCTAACTGATGACTGTAAAAAGTGCTTATGATGTGTGTCCAATAGAGAAGGAAAAATACTGTGATTTTATGCTGAGCTGGACGTGTCCTGCTGAGAAAACTCTAATCAATCTGTGTTACTGTATGTTTTATCCTTTCATATCTCATGTAATAAAGCTAGTGTGGGCAAGCAAAACTAACCTTTAATCCATTGTTTTTATTATACTAGAAATCTCCAGCTGGAATGCTCTTACTTGGACATTATTTCAGAGCCTGCAGTTAGTCGTTAAATCTGAAGTGTATATAAATGCTCTTAATATCAAGTCGTATTTAGTAGTACAGACTTGGCAGAAATAGAATAGGATATTTTTAAGCTTGGGCTTTTTATATCTACAGGGAGTGGGTCCCCTTCCACAGATGACGTCATTTTGCACTGCTATGTTTCCACAGTAGCACAAAATGGTCAATCTAGTAAGATGCGTGTTTTTGTATTTTGTGAGCAGCTGTGCAAAATACACAAGCTGTTGGAAGATTGGGAAAAGAGTGTTGGTTGTGCACAAAAGAGTTTGAATAGGTTGAAGCTTTTGAAGGTAAACCTTTGACAGATAGAGGATCATGCTTGCAGTGCATCACAGGAACTTTTTGTCCTCAAAGGCCACCATAGTTTTCATCCATTACAGGGGTGAGCAAGGGAGAGTTTCAATCTGGAATCTGACTGCCAGATGTTGCTTGATATTCCCATTTCTACACTCTCTAACTTGAACAGCTTTTTCAAACTGAGTCTCAGATTCACTGTTATTCCACCAGATCCTTCTGCAAGCCCATAGAAGTTTCTTTCGTTGCACCTGTGCAATGTGTGTAGCCTTCGGTGCTGTTTTAGTTTTATTTTAACACAAATAAAGAATATATGAATGAATATTAGTTTTTGACCAAATGTATCAAGGGAACACTTTGTGGATAATTTGCAACAGCAGAATGAAAACAGGCTTTAGCAATGGATAGCAGCAGTGAATTTGAATAAAATGTGAGTAAGCAGCATTCAGTAGGACATATATCTTAAAAACAGCATTTCCCAAACCTACAGCACTATTTGTTTGTTGATCATACAACTAATAGGTATTGAAACTTGT